GCAATCATTGAAATCAGGATTGATTACAGTTTCTTATTTATCGCCTGCAGTGCAAAAGGAGTTTATATCTCTTTTAGGCGATGCTGTAAAACAAGAATCAATCTGTGAAATCAAGAAAGCTAAATTCTATGGCATATTGTTTTTTTTTTTTGTATGTATTTAGGTGCTCCCAGAAATCCTTACGGTCTTATCATAGAGCACCGCAGGAGAGCATTTAATAAGAAGTTCACGCCTCCTTCCGTACCAATGTCGCTTTTTGGGCAAGAGCTGGCGTCGAACCTTGGACCTCTGGGTTCTGAGCCAGTACTCTAACCACTGCGCCACGGCTGCTCATTTGACATGATGCTCATTTGACATGATGATAGGAGTATATAGGAAAAAAATAAAAATAAGAAGAAACATGGTACTCTTATAAAAAAATTAAAAAAAGGGGGGTGAAAAAAAAAAATGGTTGTAAGGGTAGGGAGGGTTGTCAGGGGAGGGGGGAAATATAAAAAACATAAATCAAGTGTTAAGCAGGTAGCTAAAAAATAGATGTTATCATTGGTGTAATCAGTGTATGAAAATAGGCGGGTGAATAAAAAAATGGTTGAACAAAAAATTAAAATGGGTGGTATAAAATATGTTAAATAAACTCAGATAACTAATATAACTCAGATTTTTGAAAAACAACACAGAACGTAGACATAACTCAGATGAGTTGCGCAGACATAACTCAGATGAGTTGCGCAGACATAACTCAGATGAGTTGCGCAGACATAACTCAGATGAGTTGCGCAGACATAACTCAGATGAGTTGCGCAGACATAACTCAGATGAGTTGCGCAGACATAACTCAGATGAGTTGCGCAGACATAACTCAGATGAGTTGCGTAGACATAACTCAGATGAGTTGCGCAGACATAACTCAGATGAGTTGCGCAGACATAACTCAGATGAGTTGCGCAGACATAAATCAGATGAGTTGCGCAGACATAACTCAGATAGGTATGTCTATTAGTGAAAAAAAAAAATTAAAAAAATATAAACTTAAAGGTATAGTACCGAATAAACCCGAACATGAAAAACCTCAAAGTTGTCACTACAGTGGAAGTATATCATGAATAAATTTTGTAATTTTTTAAATTCAATTAAAAGAAATTTAAAGTTGTTATTACAGATTTGCGTGATTCCTTTATACTTGATTATTATTATACTTGCTGTGGTAATTATAGAAATCATGCCTTGCATAATAAATGGAATTTACTGTTTAATTTATTATCTTTTTGGAATTTGCTTTTATTTTATTGCTGATGCTATCGAAAAGCACGAAAAAGAAGAAAGAGAAGTAAGAAAAAATAAAACTTGAAAGATATAAAAAAGTCGACTATGACGAAATAGTAAGAAATTTGGAAAGAGAGAGACTTGAAGAAGTTATTTGAAGAAGAATTTTATATCGAATGAAAATGAAAATGAGCAAAGAACGTCGCTTGCAGTATATAAATTAAAAGTATAAAAAAAAATTGTGTTTTTTATGATATCAATTTACATTTTTTTTTTAAAAATCTAAATACAATTTAAAAAAAAAAAAAAAAACAATTTACATACTTGTTGTTTAATACGATTTTTCATATTTGTAATTTAATACGTTTTTTATAATCATTTTCTTCAGGCGTAGGTTTAATTAAATTTAAATAAAAACTTTTTACAGCTGAATGTATATTAATATTTTCTAAAAAAGTTTGAAAAAAAGATTGCTGAGCAATAATGTATACACTCTTGCTTGTTTGCGCTCTCGATAAAGCCACATAAAACAAATGCCACGTAAATTGACTTCGATTTAAATGAATAACTACATTAGAAAGAGTGAGACCTTGCACTTTGTGAATAGTAAGCGCATACGCTAACACAAGCGGCATCCCTTTGCACTCGGCCATTACATTTCTTTTACAGTCATATAGCATTTCTGTTTGAGGCGTGATTACAATACGTTGTTCGTCTACCATCATGACGACTCGCTCTAGGTTCACTGACTTTACAACGCCTTGCGTACCGTTGACAATACCAAGCTCGGATATATTGCGAACACAAATAACTGGTACTCCTTTTTTTAAAGTTACACTTTGAGGTGTTTTAAATGGCCATTTTTCGTTGATTTTAAAATTATTAAATGTTTTTATTTCACTATTAAATATAAAATCTGGAAAATTTGTTTTTTTTAAATATTCCTCGTTGTGTGCAATCCGATCCTTGTTAAACATAAACAACCTTGTGTAACTCGGATCTAAATGTTTATCGGCAGGTTCTAGCCTTTTCCTTAAAAAAGCCAAAGTGGATTCGCAAAAGATGCCTTCACGTACGTTGTTCAAATGCGTTTGAAAGGTGAGGTCTTTGTTCTGTCTAAAGTTTTTTACAAGTTCTACATTAACAAATTCGCATTCTTTCCAGAAAGGGTCTTTGAATAACAATGTTTCCTCGCCAACAGGCGTCAGCTGGTAAAAATCTCCGGCAACGAGCAACACGCATCCTCCAAATAGACGATGTAATTTTTTAATGTTTTTTAAAATCATATTTAATGTTTTTAGCACGTGTACTGGTAACATTGATATTTCGTCTATAATCGAAATTTGCATATTTTTTAAACGTTCTTTTACAACGTCAGTCATATTTTTCAAAATAGTTTCTACGGATTCTAGACGATAGCCTAGGCCAGCAAATGAGTGAACTGTGCTTGCATCGGAATACATTTGCGCAGCGATAGCCGTACTTGCCGTTATACATATGTTTTTTTTTTTGATTATATAAAACACTCGTAGATGATGTTGATTGTAAATGATTTTCCAGTGCCAGCCTTTCCTGTTAGAAAAACATTTTTGTTGTTCAGCAGAGCAATATAAGGTTTTTCTTGATCTTCGTTCATTTTTTACCCCCTTTGTTTTTTTTTTTTTAATTTTTAAAAAAATTGTGTTGTTTTTATACGAACCAATGACGTAAATACTTAAGAAGGCGAGCAAATAAAAAATGTTTAAAAAAACACAAGCCGCAAAAAATTTCGCTTTCATGTTTACTTTTGCAAGTTAACTAAAAATGTTTATATAAGCAAAAGTCGCTGTTATGAGAAAAAAAATTGGCAAACTTTTACATTTTTAAAAATATGGATGTCCTAAAGATGAAAGTAGAAAAAATAAATGACAGTCATCTGATATGGCTTAAGTTTTTTAAAAGTTTTTAAAAGCGACTGTGTGATAATATTTTCGTAAAGAAAAAACGGCGAGATTAATAAGAATTATGAAAATGAAAGTCAAGTGTTGAGACTATAATTTTGCAATAAAATAGTCAACTGACACAGGACTGTCACACAAAATGAACTAATTTTTTTAAAAACGACTGAGAGACAATATTGTTTTAAAAAAAGTACGGCGAGATAAAAAAAAAATAGATGTTGACAAAAATTGGCGTTATTGATTTAAAAAAAACATATAAAAAGGGTCACTTTTGACAATAAAAAATCAAAAAAAAACATTTGAAGCAAATCTCAGAGGTGTTCAAAAAAAAAATGGAAAACGAAAAAATACAAGGTTTTGAGCTGACTGGAAAGACAGCGAAATTTATTACGAGCGATTGCTATGCTCCTGGTATTTATCAGTTTTCGGATGTCGAATTTAAGAACATGTCCGCCTATTTTTTAGCAACAGTGCGTCTGGTATGTCAGTATGACCAGATGAAAAAGACATGGATATTTTGTGATAACAGCGACTTCAACAATCGCGTATTGGTTAATCCTAGTCAAGTAAAATTGATAAACAATTCACTGGTGGGACAGTTTTTTTACGTGCACATTATCCTAACGTGACTCGCGTTAATAAAAAAAGAGAGACGGTTTTTGTGGTGAGAGATCAATTTTTTCGTATGGATTTAAAAAAAAAAGTAAACGCTAAAAACATCAGTTTATTTTTGCCGGAACTACGCAAATATCAAAATGAAGTTTATGACGAGTACTTTTTATTAAAAGGTGTTCAAATGAAAACAAGTGAAGATTATTTGAAAATAGAGTCAGGAAATCTTGCGCAGTTGCATTTTTATCATTTTGAATAAAAAAAAAGCCTTGTTCCGATGATCGTACTTTTTTCTTTTATAAAAAAGTGTATCGCGTGCACCAATAATGGAATTTCTTAACAAGACAAATCGATCAGTACTCATTCCACCGATGATTTGCGCTTGAAATTGGGATAAATTATACAAAACAAATCCGCTGTCTATATGAGAAACGTGACGGCTACCTTCTACATTAACGTGCACAAGTTCTTCAATTTTTTTAGAAATTTCCATTGATCGAACATAATGCACTGGAGATCTAAATATTGATTTTACAAGACGATATCCGTCCGCTTCTGACCGATAAAACATGACCACTGACACAAAACCAACTAAAAAGTTCCGACTTTCCGGCGTCTGTCTCTTGGTTCTGCTCATTTCGTTAAGAATAACATCTCCTGTTTTGTTTTCGATAAACACACGGACGTCGTCCCACGTCATTTGATCAGAAACAATTAGATCATCGACGCTTTCATCCGAATAACGTTTCGATGTCCATAAAATTTTCTTGTAATAAACATCATTATTGTATTTTTCTTCACTGATTTCTTTTTTAAATTTCATATTTTATTTTCCTTTTTTAAATTTCATATTTTATTTTATTTCTTTTTTAAATTTCATATTTTATTTTCCTCTAAGAGAAAAAGAAAAAAAAAAATTTTTTATTGAACAAATATATATAAAAAATAAAACTTATTTTCTCACTAAGTAAACCAATTTTAATAATCATCATAAAAAAAAATTTTTTTTTTTTCTTAAAAAAATTCTTACAAATCTATTTTTTTCTTCTGTAAAAAAACTTTTTTTTACAATGTATTTTTTATTTATTTATTTTTTTTTTTTAATTTTGCTTACAATAAAATGTCAAAGTACAATTATATATGCCATATATATCGTGTTACAATTAAATTCGTGTTTTTATACAATTATATTCTTTGCATAAAGTCAGTTGAACCGAATGCACCATTTCCTCTTTCTGTGCTTGTTAACTCTTCTTCTGGAACAACAATGAAAAGTTGAGGCGAAAAACATTGCAAAAATACTAATTGAGTTATAGCTAAATCTGTTTTAATTATAAACTCTCTGTCGTTATTGTTCTTTAACAAAACACTAATTTCTCCACGATAATCGTTATCAATAACGCCACCTTCTACTGGGTAGCAGTAACAGTATCGAAAACAGCCAAACTGATTAATCTCGAAAATGGAATTTCCAGAATAACATCGAAATAGAGAATAACATCGAAATTGTAAAAAAAGGAATTGTATTGAAAATCCGAAAATTAGAATAACCTCGAAATTGCGAAAAAAGGAATAATATCGAAAAGAGACTTTTCGGAATAATATCGAAAAAGAAAACATTTCAAATTTGTTAAAAAAGGATTAGTATCGAAAATCCTAAAAGCAGAATAATCTCGAAACAGCTCAAAAGAGATTAATGAGAAAAGACTTACCGGAACAATATCGAAAGTGTGAATAAAGGAATAGTATCGAAATTTCAAAAAACGGAATTGGATCGAAATTGTAAAAAAAGGAACAATATCGAAACGGGACTTTCTGGAATTATATCGAAACTGTGAAAAAAGGAATAAAATCGAAAAAGGACTTTCCAGAATAATATCGAAAAGGTGAATTTTAATAATAGGTTTGAAAATTCCGAAAGCAGAATAAATAGACGGCAGTTGTTTGCGGTTTTTTGCGGTTTTTAATTAAAGTGTAGTAATTACACTGTATAATTGTATAATATAAACAAAAAGCTCTATTAGTAGAACAAAAAATATTGAATGTTGTATTGATTTTATTTACAGGAGGCACATTTAACGATTTTACTATTACAATTATCTCTTGTTATAATTAATACCATTATATGCGGATAATGAAGAAGCTTTCAGAATGTGTTCATTTTTTAAATTTGGATAACTGGTTCCCAAGTTATGACAATCTATGTTGGGCTCAATAACGCCTATTTCGCGTCAAGATTTTTTGAGTTTTTCTTAAGGAACTATGACACTAAATTTTGATAATAAATTTTTTTTTCATATGCTATCAAGAAGGAATTTCATTAATACTTATGCTGAATTATTTTTATTTTTTTCTTTTTTACTAAAGCATTCAATTCTACAAATTATCATTCTCATATTAGGGGCCCCTAGGTAAGAATTCCACTCCTCGTTTACCCATTTGTGGTAATTGGATCAAAAGCTATAAAAGCTTCGTTTAAACCGTAAAAATTAACTTTAGATAAAGAAATAGAGTTTTTTCAAACGGTCAGGGTAAACAAATTCATTAACATTTATAAATAACAAGAAAACAGGTAAAAATATTAGGTCTAATTTCTTCTACAGAACTTTGATTGTTCTTGGCCCAATCGCCCATTCAGGACAATAGGGTAAATATATAAAAATACACAAAGCCCGTTTACTCATATTGGGGCAAATTGGGCCAAGAGTAAAAAAAACTCTGCTAAAACTACAAAAATTAACTCAAGTTAAAGAAAAACACCTTTTTCAAACTGTCAGAGTAAAGATTCATTTACATATATAAATATCAAGAATATATGTAAAAATCAAAGAAGAAACATTTTTCTCATTTAGGGCCGGGAGCCATGACATTAAACTATAACAATAAGCAAAAAAAAATTCTGAAAATTTTTCAGTAATAGCTCAAACCCTAAATAAATAAAATTTGAACTCTATCTTATTAAGTGGACCACCAATTTTATGAAATATCATGCAAATAGTTTTGTCGTTAACATGGAAATGTGAACGAAGAGTCACATTATACCCGAACTTTATCATATTTTAATTTTACGCGTTGCAACGCGTTAAAGCGAAGTATGATAAAACTCACAAACCCATGTTAACGACAAAACTATGAACCTAATATTTCACAAAAGTGGTGGTGCACTTCATAAAATACAGTTCAAGCTTCACTTATTTTCAAGCTTTTTTATCCGCTTAAACTGTAAATCAAATCCAAGTGACGCAGTTATAAATAATGTTATTTATCATTTGCAACAACAATGTTGTTTTTATCATAGATAACGTATTGTATCTTAGAAATATTAGTGACATCTTTTGGAAATAATAAAAAAGTTCGCCTTTGTTTAAATGCTTGAAAACATTTGCCCTTTAGTGATTTTTTAACAAAATAATTTTAGGCCCACTGCACAGTGGGCCAGAAACATGAAAAAGTGATCAAAATTAATAACTACATATAAAATCAATTTAACAATATTAACATTATAAAATCAATTTAACAATAATTCTATTTACTAAAACATAATATTACAACCATTTAAGTTTTCTTCAGGTTACTCACTTTCAAAAAAGATTAAAAAGATTTTAATTGTTAAAGGTTGGTTTTGCTCATTTTTTTAATTTTTACTCACTGCTGGCCCACTGTGCACTGCCTTGAATGTTAGCTAAATATTTTATGTAAGCAAAACATAAAATTCCAAAAAGAACAAATAAACACTTACTTTATAAAAAAAAAATCGTCCTTACTACAAATTCTGATAGAGGGGGAGGGATTATTATTCGCAAATTATATTCTATAAATATACAAGCCCATATCGTAAAGACTTGAGGTTAGGTTGGTCGTTTCGGAGAAAATTGTGGTCAAGAATAGAAAATCTTAATTAATTTTTATAACGTAAAACTAAGAGCATTTGGTCAAAAAAAAGATGTCAATCGCTCACGATTATCTCCTCTCTTTCCCCACCCCTACCAACAGTAAGGACGTGATAAATTTAATAGAAACTAGCTTTTAATAGAAAATTTATATCAATAGCAACTCTTTAAACAAAATACATATTTATTATAAAGCAAATTAAGGATGAAAAATCCTTTTTTATAGCTGTTTTGTGCTGGTCTGTAAAATCTAAGTCTGTGTTTTATATAATCTATATGGTGTTATATCTTGGAAAGAAAATATTTTTAGCATATGGTTTTCACATACTTTTTGACGAGCTCTTTCCATTTATATAGTTTTTTGTTTAATTTCTATATATTTTTTTGCTGACTGTAACAAGTTATGATCCCGGCCCAAAATGTTTTAGCACTCGTTTTCTTCTTCTTAGTTTTAAGCTAGTTAAACAAGTTAAAAGCTAGCTAGACAAGTTAAAACCTAGTTAAAAAAAGTTAAAAGCAAAAAGTTGCTTCTAACACGCTTGTGCACAAAAAAGTGCTAATCGTAACATAGTAACCCTCACGATAAGTCTTTTGTTGATACTGTCACTTGCTTCAAGGAAACTTATTTAATTTTGCTAGACAAGCAGCTGTAGAATTTTATGCAACATTTATCTATACAATAACTTTAACATGTAAATGACTATTGTTTCTAGGGTGATGGAATTTATTTAGTACTTATCCTTAACGTAATATGGGGTTTGCTCAACTGAAACCAATACAATACGTCAACTTACGGAAAATCTTGTAGGTCCAAATGGAATTTAAAGTCATTTATGTAAACTAAAAAATGACGTTATTGATTATTTTTTATTCCAGGCGGAGCAATAGGAAAAAAATTATACCGCTTTTATATAATAAATTTTTAAAAATAAATTTAAACAATTGTGTGACATTTTAGTTTTTAAAATATAGGTAAAAGGGAAAATTTTACTGAATCATTGAAAAGGTTCAATTATAGATGTTATTGGTCCTCGTCAAGTGGGACAATGAGTTGTGTTGCTTTTTTGGACTTGTTGAATGCAGGGCTGACAAAACAAAAAATGTCTGCAAGGCATTACTAATGCATTTCGTTCATTGACGGTACAAACAACGCACTGCGGTGACTCTGTTGAAGTAGAAGTTGGCAAAGGAAGACTCTCACCAACCTTCATTGAGTTTTTATCAAAAGCACTAAAAATATTTAAAAACTTCAAATACAATTTTCCATATTTCATGGAAAATAATATATTATCAAATAAAGTTAAACTAATTAGTTTGGTAAAAAAATTGATAAAGGTTAATAAATAAGAAGTGTTATACAAAAACTTGGAAAATTATCTTACACTACTTTGAAGTTTTAAAGAGATATGATACAGTTGATAGGAATCTCTCAGTTGTTCAAACTACGTCTCGAAGTTTTTTCTCAAAACAACACATTTTTTCAATTGCACCATAATTGCGTTGGTCACGGCGGACTGGCTGATTGCAGAGAAGCTGTTGAAGCTCTTGAATTGTAAGGACTATTACATACTGGTTAAGCAATTTCATAAACTGCCAAAATCCTCTATGTCGATCACCCATGTTTGATTTCAAACGTCTATTGAGACTCTCTGCATTGTTATTGGTTTTGTGGTTCAAGCCATAAACACTGAATCCTTCTGGGGTCATTATATTGAGCCAATAACTCTCAAAATATCTTTTAAAAGCAAGTAGTTAGATTTTGATTTCGCGACTAAATTGTGCAATCTCAATAACTCGAGATCCCCAAGCAACCAAGATCTTGTTTGCAGGAAGGAAACAAAGTGCTGAAACTTTTCGTGCATACTTCTTTACTTGAATTTGGTGGCGGTATTCCCTCTGAAGACCAAGAATTGCTAATTGCTTGGTGATTGCATTTTCGAAATGAAACCTAAAGATAAGGGTTTAAAGGAGATCATTAATTGATAACAAACTCTGAAAAACTTGGATAACTTAGAAACTGGAAACTAAGTTATAACAAAGTAATAAATTATACCTGCAACCATTCACCAAGCTTTCACTCCAAGTTGTTTTTAAAGCATTCTGTAGTCCTCGTTCAAAATCTGACATAATGGTGACTGGAGATAAATCTAAAACTTCTTTTATTTTGGAAAAAACAAGCTTGTATAGAGCCTCGGATTTCGATGTCATTAAAGCGCATACAGCTGGAACAGATATTCCCCAAAGGTGAGGGTTATCAGGATCAAAATTCATCTGATCCTCATCTGGAATTGGATCTTCAAGTACTGCTGAATACTCAACATAAAATATCAAGAGCTGATACCACTTACTTTCCTCCATGCGTGGTTTCATTAGGTGATTTTGGGTTTAAAGGCTCATTTAGCCTTCTCCTTTTTTGAAGACTTGGGATAATTTGACGAAAACTAACAGATTCAGAAACAACTGCAGGAAACTCACTCAAAGTGTTTTGAAAAATTAGGCGCAGGTCTTCAGATGTTGCTTCTGCTTTTTCTTCATGGTACTTTTAGCAAGCAGCACTTCAAAGTCTGTTTCTCTTGAACTGCAACTGTGAACAGTTGTAACTTGAAGTTTATCTTCATGAATAAAAGCTCTGCCTTTGCAGTTCATTCTTGTAAAAAAACAACACTTAAGATGCAGTTTGTCTTTATAAAGTTTATCTTTAGTGTATCTAAAATCACTAGACCAAAACACATTTGAATTTTTTCTTTCTCCTTCAGTTTCATTATAATTTTTTGATAAGTTCTCTAACGACATTTTAGAATATTGAGTTTCTTAAAAGTTTCTTAAATTTTAAGTTTCGATCGAACGTGCAAATTAAACTGTTTATTGCGCGTGCAAATTAACTGTTCATTTAAACTGCTGTTCTCCATTGTAGGTAATGCTAACTTTGTTAAGCTGATTGAAAAGTTAGGAAATATTCACCGAACTCTTAAATAAGTTACTTTTCGAAAAGTGACTAAGTATTAAAAATTTCTTAAGATTTTTTCCTAGTACTAGTTTTTTATAAAATAAAAGTGTGATCATAAAATCATATTTTTGATGTTAATCATTAAAAAGAATTTTTGACAATTAAAAATTTTCGATCTTATTTTGTTTTTATTGTTTTTGACATTAACCAGAAAATCTTATTTTTAATGTTAATCGTTAAAATGAGTTTTCGATCTTATTCTGTTTTTATTGTTTTCGACATTAATCGGAAAATCACGTTTTCGAAGTTAATCATTAAAATGAGTTTTCGATCTTATTCTGATTTTATTGTTTTCGACATTAATCAGAAAATCTTATTTTCGATGTTAATCATAAAAATGAGTTTTCGATCTTATTCCTTTTTTATTGTTTTCGATATTGTTCCACATTTGTGAATTTCGATACTAAAACTTTTCGACATTAATCAGAAAATCACATTTTCGATGTTAATCAGTTAAATGAGTTTTCGATCTTATTCCGTTTTTATTGTTTTCGATATTGTTCCAAATTTGTGAATTTCGATATAAAAACTTTTCGATATTAATCTGAAAATCACATTTTCGATCTTAATCATTAAAATGAGTTTCGGTCAGTTATTTTTCGATACTAATCATTTTTTCGATCAGTTAATTTTCGATACTATTCCGCTTTCCCCTTCTACTGTTATATTTTGAAGAGCTAATGATGATCTCGATAACAATTGTCCATAATATCCACCAGGAATTTGCATTCGAATACCAGTAGGCACTTTAACAGTTGCTCGCTTTAATAAATACACGTCTTCCATAGCAAAAATGTCAAACCCAGCGCTACCTTGTGTAGCTCGTATTGGCATTTTTGCCGAACCTTTCAATGACATAAACATTTTTTTAGTTTTTTTTTTCTATAAAAAAAGTTTTTTTTTAATTTATAAATTTTTTTTTTTTTTTAATTAATAAAAAAAGTTATATTTTATATATGGTTTTTTTTTTTAAAAAAAAAAGTTATATTTCATGTATAGTTTTTATATATGGTTTCTAAAAAAAAATTATATTTAAAAAAAATATAAAAAAAGTTATATTTTATATATGGTTTTTATATATGGTTTTTAAAAAAATATATATATTTAAAAAAAACATAAAAAAATTTTTTTTTTGAAAAAAAAAACATTAAAAAAAAAAACAATACACTCTAAATGTTTAAAATTCACATATTTAACTTCAAATTCTCTTCTTTAAAGATACGATTTTCGTATCTATAAACATCTTCTAGTGTTTTGTGTATGTAATCAAATTCCTGTTTTTCTTTATCTCTATCTTTAACTTCCAAGTTTTGCATCAAAGTTTTAAATCCCATATTTTTTTTTTAATAATCTAAGTTACTCTAAAAAATTAATTTTTTTTTAAAAAAAATAAAAAAAAATTATTAAAATGACCCTTATATATACAAATAAAAAAAACAACAATTTATTAAAAAAATATTTTTTTAATTAAATTGAAAATACATATAACAAAGGTTAGGCATATTTAAAAAAATTTCAGTCATTTTTTTAAATTAAATTGCAAATACATATAACGAAGGTTAGGCATATTTAAAATTTCAGTCAAAGATATATCTTTACAGCTTCGTAATCTGCAATGTTTGTTATGTTGTTTTGTATCTTCTATTTGACAATCGTCAAGGTAACAATTAGCACGCACTAAAAAATTATTAAATAATTCAATCATATCATAATGAAAGCGCTGTTCTTCCAAATCAGTAGGCGACAAGAAACTAGTTGTTAATAACTCATAATGGGACTTTTTTTTAAAATAAATTTGCTGCATATAAATGTAACGAAATATCAACCATAACTTTTCATATTTGTAATACGCTATTGGACGCACATAAAATGCTTTTCGATGCGAAAACTCTGTAGAAGCTTTTTGTAATCTTGTAAAAATTGAATGGTTTAATGATTCCCAAGTGGGCGCAAATAAATTAGTTAAAGTAAAATACGGACTTGGTGCACTCACTTTTTCCAAACTGCAATCTAACTGTTCAACATCTTTATAACTCATTTTACCGTACAAAAAATACTTCAAAATACGACATTGTTTTAACAAAGCTAGTGATATATATAGAACATATTCTTCCATGTGCTCTTCCATCTCTGCATTTCGTTCGCAAGTAATCAGTTGTTTTACGTAAATCCAGTCGTCATGAATATCGTGTATATCATGAATATCCATATCGTGTCGACAATTCAATATAAAACCTTTTATAAAATCCTGCACATCAGTTGCATACCTCCATTCTTGACACACATTCAAACAACGTTTTAAAAGTATTTGCTTAAACACACTATTTGATTGACTTTTTACTTGAAACATTTTTTTTTTTTTAAGCTAAAAAAATGAATAATCTTTTTTTCTTTTTTTCAATTCCAAACCGCTTTCCGTTTTGTTTTTATTTTCCAAATTGTTTTTCAATTCCAAACCGCTTTCCGTTTTGTTTTTATTTTCCAAATTGTTTTTCTATTCCAAACCGCTTTCCGTTTTGTTTTTATTTTCCAAATTGTTTTTCAATTCCAAACCGCTTTCCGTTTTGTTTTTATTTTCCAAATTGTTTTTCAATTCCAAACCGCTTTCCGTTTTGTTTTTATTTTTCAAATTGTTTTTATTCCCCAAATGCGTTTTTTCGTATCGAAAGCTAGTAAAATGTTGAGTATATCTTTTTGTTTTTCCTGCCTCATCAATAGCATAAAATGATATTATTTTTTTCTTACAGACATTTTTTATCTTTAATAAATAAGTCAAAAAAAAAAATATTTTTCTATTAATGAAAAGTTGAGATATATCCCACACTGAACAAATGATTCAGGTCATAAGGTATGTGAAAAAGGTATTTGACAACAGGAACGTGGAAGTGAAAGAATCATTTCTAGGTTTTATTCCTCTAAGTGGGAAAGAGGCAGACTCCATAACATAGAAAATTGTTCAATCTCTTGAAAAGGACGGCTTGGATTTCAAGCTTTGTCGAAGCCAAGGGTACGATAATGCCACGACAATGTCTGGCATTCATTCAGGAGTACAAACCAGAATTAAAGAATTTAATCTAAAAGCAATATTTGTGCCTTGTGCTAACCATTCGCTTAATTTATGTGGCGTACATGCTTTTGGTAGTGTTTCTGTTTGTGTCACATTTTTTGGAACTTTGGAAAGTGTGTACACGTTTTTTTCATGTTCAACACATTGATAGAAGGTCCTAAAAGAAACCGTTGGAGTGACAGTGAAGAGACTTAATGATACCAGGTGGAGTGCTCATCACGATGGCGTGAAACCAATCTTCAAACATTTCGAAAAGTTGGTTAAGGCTGTGGAAAAGCTTTGTGATGCTTCTGAAAACTTAGATACGAGAGGAGCAGAGGAGGTGTTGATGACAAACATTTGTAACTTAAATTTCCTTTGTTTCTTGCATTTGTGGTACCACATTCTACTCGAGGTGAATCATGCCCAAAAATATCTTCAAATAGAAGTTATTAGCTTGGAAAAGTGTGTTTTGAAGCTGAAAAGCTTGAATACCTTTTTAGTAGAGAATCGAAAAGTTCTGGTCCATAATGCCGTAGAATATGCGACCCAGACTTGTGCTGAAATTGGCATTGATATTGAAAGCAGAAAACGCAAGCGAGTGAAAAAGATGATGCCAGGAAAAATTACTAAAGATACAGGTTTAACTCCACCTGAAAAATTGAAGCGTACTATGTTCGAGTGCATTGACCATTTTTATGTAGAATTAGAAAAACGTTTGACCTCGATGAACACTGTGTATAAAAAGTTTGCTGTTGAACACAAAGGTAATCTTTTGAAGGCAACTGATGAAGAAATTGTAACCTATGCACATCAGTTTTCAGAAACTTTCAATGATATAGAGGAGGAAGAAATGCTGCCTGAAGTAAAGAGGCTGAAAAGACATCTGAAGGCTTCTGGCATCAAATTAGACATTGCAGCTGCATGGACATCTTTAAAAAAAATGCTTTAGTTTATCATCAAAATGGAACTTTGTGAATCGTTGCCAAATGTGACTGAAGCTCTTAAACTGTTTCTAACTATATGTGTGTCCGTGGCTTCTTGTGAGAGGAGTTTTTCAAAATTGAAATTAATTAAAAATTTATTACCGCTCTGCAATAAGCCAGTCTTGTTTGACGAGCTTTGCCATAATATCAGTAGAAAACGAAATTGCAAAACATGTGAATTTTGATGAGTTAATCAAACGATTTGCAGAAGTCAAGGCTCGCTAGAAAGCATTTTAATGTGTTTCTAGAGGTAACTCTTTGCTGCAAATCTGTTTTTTTTTACTGTACATTGTACATCATTGTATTATCATTTAAAAGCAATAATCAAAACTAATGTTTTAGTCATTTGTGTACATAAATGAATTTCTATAAGTGATATAATGGCGTTAATGGATATATATATATATAAACATATAAACTGATAGATAATGATAAAGATGGTATTTGCTAATTTTTGTTTATTACAAACGTTTTCAAGAAAGTGGAGAAAGATAATGTGCTATACATACATTCATTAATGTAGTCTATATATATATATATATTATTTTAATCTATTTATTACAGTAATTAATACAACTTCTTGATTGAATTGATGAAGGAAAGCACATCAGGCTTTCCTATGCTGACGATAGACATTGCTGCAGCCGAAGCAGCATTTTAGGGGCTGTTCATATGGATAAAATTATCCCGCCTAACCGGGACAGAAAAACAACCGGGGTCCCGCCTATCTTAATAAACTCTTATAATTTTAACATCGCGTTCATATATAAATTTTCTCACCCCGCTTAGGCGGGATCTCGCCTATGGACTACCGGGATCCCGGTCAGGCGGGGTGAAAATTCTTTATATGAACACAAGTTGAAAATCACCCCGGCTCGACTGGACAGTTTTGTTAAGAAATTTAATGAGCATTTAATTATTTTTTAGTTTAAATCGTTCAACCACGTATAAAAACAAAAATAGTTAATAATTTTATATAATTAACTAAATAATTTGCGCGAATGATTATATATAAACAAATGTCACATGATCTTAAAAACGTCCCGCTAGAGCGAGATGTTTTTTCCATATGAACACAGCTGAAATTCATCCCGCCTAACCGGGGTACCCCGGTTAGGCGGGATGTTTTTTATCAATATAAACAGCCCCTTAAACGTGTTTTTTAAAAAGTGCACAGTGGGTGCATCAACTACATTCTGAGCTAATTTGTTCCATCGGTTAGTAACTCGGTTTGTAAAGAAGTGCTGACGTTCTGAATTTCTTTTGATCAGTTGTGGTTTTAAACATCGGCTGTTTCTTCAGATTATATCGTGAGTTTAACAAAAAAGGCTGGGCTTGTGGTATGTAAAATTTAACTTCTTGTAACTGATGAGCAATTTAGTATTGCAGTATAAGGTCACTGCGAATTCTGCGTTCTTTCAGCGTGGTTAGATTTAGTAGTTGTAGTCGTTTTTCGTAATTAAAATGTTTAATCGACGATATAACTTTTGTTGCACACGTTCGAGACGGACGATTTCCGGTTTAAGATGTGGAGACCAGGCTTGTATACAATACTCTAGATGCGGTCGAACGTTTAGCTGGTACAATTTCTTCCAAAGCTGGAGATTACGGCATCGAAATGTCTTTTTGAGGCGACCAAGCATTCGATTTCCGGCCGAAGCTGCGGCTTCTACTTGTGCTTTCAGTTGAGGTTGTCGGAGATAAGTTATGTCGGTTACCGTTAATGTCTGCCATTGTATATGATTTATTTTTGCGGCAACCAACGTGCATTACTTTGCACTTCTCGATGTTGAAGTGCATAAGCCATTTATGTGACCAACTTACAGCGTTGTCAATGTCCGTTTGCAGTGTTTCATAATCAGAGGATGATTGATTATTATTTATAATTCCTATGATCTTGCTATCATCGGCGTATAACTTGGTATAATTGCTAATCCCATCTGGATAGTCATTGACAAAAAGCACAAATAGCAGTGGTCTAAGTACTGATCCTTGAGCGACTCCACTTGTAACTCTTTTCCACTCGGAAGTTTGTTTCCCAATAACTACACGTTGTTTTCTTTCACTTAGCCAAGAAGAGATCCAGTGGAATAGCTGGCCTCTAATGGCGTAGGCCTGAATCTTGCGAAGGAGTCTTTTGTGTGGTACTGTATCAAAAGCTTTGGAAAAGTCTGTAAATATTATGTCAACAATGTGTTCACGGTAAGCTGCCTCCGTGAGAATGTCACGGGATTCAATTAAATTTGTAAGACAACCTCTGTGATTTACAAATTCATGCTGAGATTTTGAAATTAGATTGTGTAGTGTACAGTGTTTCATAATCCTCTCCATTACCTTGCACGGTACAGAGGAAAGAGATACCGGCCTATAATTACAAGCTTTGAGTTTGTTTCCTTTTTTGAAGGTAGGAGTAACATTTGATTTACGCCAAAGATCTAGGACACTTCCAGTTTGAAAGGATTGCTTGAAAATGAGTGAAAGAGGTATTGCAAAAGCTTTTGCTCAGTTTTTTAGAACACGAGGATGTACTCCGTCAAGATATAGTGTCGTCAAGGCAGAATAAGTAGTTTTGTACTATAGCAGCTGTAAACAAACTTTCGTCAATTTCGCAAGTTGATTTTGTTCTCTCTTCAAATATTGGTAAAGGTGTTGGGGGTTCTTTGACAAAAACTGAATGAAAATAATTGTTTATTGTTGAAGTTATAAACTTAGAGTCTTCGGTAAAGTTATCAGTGCTAGTTTTAAGCATACTAATGTGATTATGTACTTTAAGCTTATTTTTTACTTGTGAGTACAGACGTTTTGGGAATTCCTTGAAACTGCTTACTAGTTGTCGTTCGTAATAAAGGACAGCCGCATTGACCACTTTTTATACGTGTTTGCATGCAGCCTGATGTTTATTACGTAATTTTGCATGAGAATCTTTACCAGCAGCAACGTATTTTCCCCAAGTTGAACGTTTTAATTTTACTGCTTCCAATACTTTTGGTGTGACCCAAAGATTTTGCTTAATTCTAAATAGAGTCGTTGTTGATGAAATGTGCAATTTTACAGCTTCGTTGTATACGTCAATAAACCAACTGTACAGATCGTTTGCAGAGAGATTGGTTGGTATTTCTTTAGAAGTTATATGTAATGAAATTGCATCAAAATTTGCTTTACTCCAGATAAGCCGTCGGCGACTAGGAGATGTTAGTTTGTTCTTGTTGGAGTATACTGCAAAAAGACCGACTAAAAGACAGTGAGCTTTTCCCATTAATGTATGTCCAAGCGAATTTCCTTCGTTTATTGAGATTAGGCGATCAGGATTATTAGTGATGATGAGGTCAAGCGTGCTACATGGATTTGCAAGCATTTTAATGCGGTATGTTGGGAATGTTACTAGTTGAGTTAAATAGCAGTCTTTAAGACACTCTTGGAATTTGATATCACCGGGACGTTGTTCCGTAACATGAGCGGTTGTTTCTACACCACCACCAACATTGCACAAGCGAAAGAAGTTTATCAAAGGTAACTTTAAACGTGGCGAATTAGCCTGTGACTGCAGGTCTTGTAATGAGTTATTTGGCAAATGTTGTTTATGTTTTGCTTTGGTTTGAGGGATTGGGCTTATATTATGTGGTTGCAGTTTGCATGGTCGTGAGGAGACATTTGCGGTGTTTGCTGGGGAAGCAAAGACATATTATGTAGTTTATTTGACTTTTGAACATCAATAAAGCAGATTTCTCCGGTACGCTTGTGGATAACATTCCGAAATGGTTTGTCAAGTACATCCGCAGCATATAGTTCGTCGTTAAGCTTTTTCATTTTACTTTGTAGCTCATTGAATGCCTCTTGTTGTGAACGAGTTCGATCTTCACGACAAAATATTTCTTTGAATTCAGCAATATTATGGTGACTACATTTCTGAAGCACTTCTGATCGAGATTAATATTATTATTATTATTATTATTTTATTATTATTTATTGTACCGCAACAAGCTATAGCTTGTGTAATCAATTCTGTTTGTGGCGGCCTACATAAAAATTTACAAATTATTTTGAATTAAGTTAATTAAATGGGAAAAAAGCCAATTTCATCGTTAATCATCTTCAAGGTTTTCTGATTCAAAAAATTTATCCAATCTTGCTTTGAAACTATTTACAGTTGTGGCACTGATTATGCTTTTATTTTTAATTTATTCCAAGTATTCACCACACGATTTGTAAAAAACTGATGACGCTGTTCATTGTTTTTAACTAACTCTCTAACTAGCTTAAAGTTATGACCTCGCGTTCGATATTGATTAAAATTTCTTGGATTAGAGTGCGAATTTACGTTACACCAATTTACAATATCGAAGCCATTTATTATTTTAAAACATTGTATTAGGTCACCTCGAACTCTACGGTCAACATGAGATTAAATACCCATAATTTTTAATCTTTTTTTGTAGTTCAATTTTTTGAGTGATGGAATCAAACGAGTTGCTCGGTTTTGTACTTGTTCAATTAGAATTATGTCATTTTTTTGGTAAGGGTTCCACGCCGGTTTTGCGAATTCCAAATAAGGTCTCACAAACGCTGTAAACAATGTTTTGAGAAGTTTGCTATCCATATAGGTGAAAGTCCTGCTTAACATTCCAAGTATTTTATTTGCTTTTTTTGATGCATACATAACTTGACTATGATATATCGTCTTACTAGATAAAATAACACCTAAATCCTTTTCATCGTTTGTACTGCATATACTAGTTACTTCATTTGCTATTGATGGAATTGTATAATTATGATGTTTATTTGATTTGCCAAGATGCATTACTTTGCATTTTGAATCATTCAAGTAAAGAAGCTATGTTTGGGACCATTTTGCGATTTTATTTATGTCATTTTGTAATACATTTATATCGTTGATATTATTTATTTTTGCTAATAGTTTAGTATCGTCAGTATACAATTTATTTGCACTTTTTAATAGTTCTGGCATATCATTAATATAAATTATAAATAAAATAGGACCTAGAACGGATCCTTGCGGTACACCACTCCGAACCTCTTTCCATTTTGATGAAAATTCTGCCATTACCACTTTTTGTTAACAATTTTTTAAAAAAGATTCAAGCCACTTTAAAGTGTGACCTATAATTCCATAATTCGACAACTTGTGAATTAAATATCTATGCGGAACAACATCGAAGGCTTTAGCGAAATCCATGAATACTACATCAACCGCATTTCCTTTAGATAATGAATAGGTAATAAAGTCCATTGTTTCAATTAAATTAGTTGTACATGATTTGTTGTGCACAAAACCATGTTGATTAGTTGAAGTTAGGTGATTTTGTACTAAGTGTTGGACCAAACTGTTATTGACAATTTTTTCCATAACTTTACTAACAACTGACATCAAAGAAATTGGACGATATTTGCTTGTAATTAGTTTGCTACCTTTTTTATATAAAGGTGTTATGTGTGCAGATTTCCAATCATCTGGACAAATACCTGATTGCATCGAAAGTATGAATATATAACCTAAAGGTGTTGCTAGAACAAAAGCACAATTTTTTAATACAAATTGGACTTACTCCGTCTGGGCCAGCAGATTTATTTGGATCCAACTTCACTAATATATTGTAAACCAAATTAAAATCAAATAACGGTGTGCCACATATATTGTTTGTACGCTTTTCGAATTTTGGTACTTCGGTAACATCGTTTTTTGTGAATACATCTTGAAAATGGTCATTTAAAGTATTTGCTATGTCTTTTGAATCTGTGATCGTACAATCGCTTTTATCTTTTAAGGAATTTATACTCGACTTGATTTTTTTCTTCTGCTTCACATATGAATACAAAAGCTTTGGGTTATGTTTAGCATTAATGGCTAACTTTAATTCATACTCTTTTACTGTTTTTTTGAGTAACCTTTTGTATGTTATTTTACTCTGTTTGTATTCTTCTACCAGTTTTGCATTGGAAAAGCCACAGGCCAAACATTTGAACCAAAGTTTATTTTTTGACTTCATTTTTATTTTCAGTGGCAGAGATATCCAGTTGCATGACTTATAATTCGTTTTTACATATTTGATTTTGACGTATTTATCACACGCAATATTGTAATATTTTAGGAAAGCATCATAGCATTCGTTTACGTTTCGATTTTCAAAATTAATTCTCCAATCACAGTTAGTGAAAAAATCAGACATTAATTCATAATTCGTACTATGAAACATTTTTTTGCAAATAAACTTTGGTTGTGGCATTGATTTTGTTTTGAAAAGAAATGTCAAGACATGATGTCCTTTTTTTAAGTTTGCTAGAGGCGGTAAATGAAAAATTTCTTTAATTTTTTCATTGCATTCGGCTATTATAAGGTCCAGTGTACTAGTTGACGTAATTTCATCAGCTTGAAAAGTAGGATCTGTTACAAATTGAGTTAAATATGCATCAGATAAACAGTCGATGAATTGATTTGCTAACGAATTAATATTTGTGTCTTTAACTGACTTTACACCATTGTTATTCCATTTTATAGGGGGTAAATTGAAATCACCACACACTAATAATCCGTCATACTTTGTTGTTATTAAATGTTTTGCATATGTGATAGATTTAGTAATTGTATTTATGGAATCAAGCATGTGAGGCCTATAAATGCAGTCTAATAAACATCGTTCATTGTCTAACATGATTTCACACCATACTTGTTCATTATTGTTAGATAACTTTTCATCCAAGATTTCAAAGGATTTAATTGAGTTTTGTACATATATGGCTACACCACCTCCTCTTCATGTGATACGGTCTTTACGGTAGAGCGTATAGTTTTCAATATTTGGTATAGAGGTGTCTACCCACCAGGTTTCTGTTATAAAAATTAAATGGTGCTTGCGTACAGTTATATCGGTTATAAATTCAGATATTTTGTTGTTTAGCGATGTAGCGTTTGTATAGTAACATGATAAGTAGTTGAATGAAACATTGGATACAGTATTATTTTTATAATTATTTATTAAATTAATTTGCTCACACGCATTTGCAATACCATTAGTTATACGTACAGATTATATACGTACAGATTCTGAATTTGAATTGTTCATTACCTCGACATTATCATTATAAGTTTTTATCGCTCCTTTGCTTAAAACATTATCTTTCTCGTGAGAATCAGATAAAGTTTTTATTTTTCTATCAAAAATTTCTTCGTGGAAATTTAAAATTTCTACGATACTCGCTACTTTATTTTCAAGCGACTTGATTATTGTAGGTTTTTGTGAGTATCCTTTTCAACTTTAGCCATTCGATCGTTAGTCATTTTCGTATTTGCACTTATTATGCTTATCAAGTTTTTTTCTTGTTCTTTAAACATTAACTCCGTTTCTTTTTTGTATACTGAGTACATTTCTTCCAATACTTTTTTTTTAGCTTCAGTAGAAAGTTCCGTTGCTGCCGTAATTTCTTTATTTTCTATAATACTATTTTATGAACACAAAAAGGTTTTATCCTAACTGTGTTTACTTTCCGATATATATATTAACTTTTTGTTAAATCTTTATTAAATTAATAAATTTTTAGTTATAAAATACTAAAAATTAAAAATACTACCATTATTTTCTTTAAATTATAGCTCTTGCAAAAACACGTCTTCTTACAAAAAAAGCATACGGCATATATATATATATATATATATATATATATATATATATATATATATATATATATATATATATATATATATATATATATATATATATATATATATATATATATATATATATATATATATATATATATATATATATATATATGTATATATATATATATATATATATATATATATATATATATATATATATATATATATATATATATATATTATAGGTTATAAATATATATCATGTAGGCTCTATGCTGAGGTGCAAGCTTTCACTCTCAGCCCTAAAGGTAAAAAATTACATAGAGAGTCATCCATAAAATACGTTCGCTTATTATTTCGACATCCCCCCCCCCTCCCTCCTCCATGCATTTTGCTATAATCAATTTTGAATACCCCTCACCTCCCTAAAAGTAAATACGCATTTTACTTACCTACCTAACATTTTATGATATTTTCTTTCAATTTAGTGTCTCCTTACTTTTATAATTGTTCCAGTCCTTTATCTCATATACAACGTTTGCAGACCCCTTCTTCCCATCAGAGCGTACATACCTTATGGAGGATCTCTAAGTATAATTCTCGAATCGGCCGGAATTCCAACCGGAATTTACTTAACAATTCTGGCAAATTCGGTTCCGGCCGGATTTCAAAATTTCCGATCCAGTACACCCTTATAAAAGATATAAATCAAATAAAAAAATTTATAAAATAAGTTATAACATTTCGACTTTTATGTATAGTACAATTATGTAAACCTAGGTAAAAAATAAAAAAAATTCTTTATATTCTTATTAAGTTGTATTTTTATCTACTGCCACCAAACAAACACTTCTATTAGCATATGAAGCTTTTGTAGTGTTATTTATGGCTTGTGCTGCTTAAAGAAATAAAAAAAATGGAAAAAAGGCCATTCTTCATTGAATAGAGTTGTAAAACCACATCACAGTAATAAAATAGTATTCAGGTATTCTCAGAAAACTGCAAATCATGTAAAATTGTGGAATGCAGATAAAAATATTAAAAAATTGATTTTACTTTATGGATACTTTTTACTACAGTTTACATTACATTTACATTTTACTACATGGATTAATATACAACACTGAAGTTAGAGCTTGTGCAGTTTTGTCTAGTTTCATTGAATTCATTGATGCATCTTAAACTATTTTTGATGTCTGTAAACAAAAACACGAGGGAAATGAGGGAAAATCCTTAAAATGAGGGAAAATCCTAAAAGCAGAAAGGGTTAGTTGAATAAAGGTTCCATTCGAAAAGGAATTTGAGTTTTTGTGACTAATAAGTTACTTTTTTTTTTATTTTTGCGTTTTCTCAAAACAAAGTTTTTCAATTTGTACATGTACTTGAAAATATACTCAAATTTACACAAAAATGCCACATCAGCATATTTAAAATGATATATAATCAACTTTTTTAGGATTGTTTAATTGTGTACAGTTTTTTTTTTTTCATTATTAGTTTAAAATATTTGTTTCAAAAACTCAACAAAAATTTTTTTTTTTCTATAGGAACCATTACAGTAATGATAAGTCTATAAGATATCACGGTTAGAGAGGTAAGTCTATAAGGTTAGAGAGGATAAACCCCAAAAACTAAAAATTAGTAGAAAATGTCCATGAAATCCTTCACAAAAAAAAGGATATTCACCAAGTTGTTGATTTTTTATTTTCAAATGCATAATATTATATTTTTTTATTTCAACATGTTTAGCCGTATATTTTTGTGAAAATGGAGGAATATATTCAAGCATTACAGGCTGCTACTGCAATTCAGTATGTTACAAAATTACAGCATGTTGGTGGGGTAGACATAAATTGAAATTTAACGAATGGGACACAAACCATAAATCACTTCCTTCCGTGGAGTACTTCTGTAAAGTATGCACATATGTTAATATATAGAATTGTACTAAAGGCCCACAACTACCAACGTCTTTAAATGGCTAATCAATGTAATAAAATAGATCTTCTAAACATTATAACAGCTTGCTTGAAAATGTTTTAATACTTACAGATCTATTACATATTTACTAGTATTATCCTTGAATTGTTACAACTTTCTTCAGAAAATTTTAGAATTTGATTTGTGTCTTCTTCCTACTTTTCTTAAAGTTAATGGAGATCTTTCAATAAATTTCGTCTACTATGTATACTTTTATTTGCAACAGTTTTTGATGCAAAGAACGGTTAATTAAAAATATTGATTTTAAGCAAATTTCATTACTCAGTAATTGGAGTTCAACTCTCGATTTTACATCCTATATCATATAGAGGGTAACACCATAGGTGTCACTTATAGTATATGATAACATATACTTACAAGAGATGATTCTAATGTGTACAATGTTAGTAATTTACTGATTACATATAATTTACATATACTCAAGGTGCCACCTAAGGTGTTACCCCCTATATGATATAGGGGCAAATCGAGAGTTGAACTTCAACAACAAAACTAAATCTATATGTGGTAGCAATATCATTGATAAACACGAAGTAATATTGCGTACCAAATTTAGTTTATCACAGAAGAATATCAAAATTATTTTCTAACGATCAGTCAATGTTAAATAAAATGTGACACGCTCACTTTCTTTTTATGATACAACTGTTACATTATTTATTTGGCGCAGAGGATTGCATATTCTGCAACAAATGCACATGCTTCATCTGAAGTCTTAAAGCACTGGCCTCTATGTAGGTCCATCTTTTAACAGGTTAAGTTGAGTTCACTAAGTTTTGCCTCGTTTTATGTCTCTTGCCTCATCTCAAGATGAGGCAAAGAGACATAAAAGGCAAATAATTAATAAGAGTGCACTCTAGCAAATTTTCTAGCTTAAAGTGGCAGTATTCATCGCCGCAATAGATTTATTCATTATTTGTATACATTTGCGAGGTTTTAAAAAGTTATTTAGTTACGGACGTAACGAAAACAAATTTACTTTAAAAATTACATAAAAGTAGTACCATCAGTGGCGTACCTAGTTTGTTTATGTAACATATGTTACAAATTTATTTTTCTATTTTTAATTGCTGCAAATTTCTTAATAACATTGTCAAAATCACTTTCTTCGGTAATTTCTCGCTCTATGCTTAGTAAAGCGAGATCACAGAGACGGCTTTGGCCCATCGAAGCTCTTAAGTAAGAGCTAATCAGTTTAAGTTTACTGAATGATCTCTCACAACTAGCTACAGACACAGCTAGTGTTAGCAACATATGAAATGCTATACGCATACTAGGGAAAACGTTTTTGTCTTCATATTGAACTATAAAGATTAGTAGTTGCTCGAAACTTGATATTTTTTCCTTACGGGTAGTAAGCAGCATTCTACAGTTCAAAATTTCTTCGTACAGTTCTCGTCCATCCATATCAGAACTGTAGCCAAATATTTTTACATTGATCTTTTAAGTGATTGATTTCCGTATTAAAGCACAACCCTTCCACATCAAGGAGAAATTCAAATTTTTCATCAATTTCCATTAATCGAATGCTTCTTGTTTTCAATTCATTGAAAAGACGGTCGACAGTCCTTTTTATTATCCTTTCCATTTCTTCTTTTGGTGTTAACCCAACATCTCTAGACATTTCTCCATCCATTCTTTTTTTTCTTCTTTGGCGTCTTTCAAACTTAACACCCCATTCGTTGCAAATTTGATTTCCTTCTTTTATTGAATCATTAACTTCTCTCTCACTCTGGAAATACATAAGAGGTTGCAGGACCCTAAAATAAATAGTTCATTTTAGGGTCCTGCAACCTCTTATGTAAAAAAATGTAAGGTGCACCGATGGTTTCAAAAAAAGTAACCATTATTGCTTCTTCAACCGCATGTACGCCAACCAAATTAAGTCTATGATTGTCATAATTGAAAAATATGGCAAGGTTGTTTTTTTCCTTTATTCTTTGATGCACACCATTCTTTTGGCAAGCCATAGTGTCCTATGTCCTAGCATTGTGACCTGCAATTTTTATGTTCATATCGTCTTTTTTTATATATTCCAATATTGTTTGGGCTAAGCTAGCTGCATCCTTATCGCTGAGTTGGGTAAAGCCAAGGAAAGATTTTTTTATATATTCTGTTTTTTTTTTCTCGAAATTGATCTCGACATACCTAACTACCTCAGACATTTGTTCGCGATGGGCTAAATCTGGAGTTGAGTCAAACATTAGTCCATAATACTTCAGGTAATTTTGTCCATAATACTTTAGTCCATAATACTTCAGGTAATTTTGCTAAAGTGGTTTATAATAAATTAATCACAAAGTCTTTTTAAAAGACTATTATCAATTATTAATTTTAAAAAATATGTTTTAATATATATATGTATATATTTGTTTATGTATGTCAGGGCCGGATTTACCTATAGGCCGACTAGGCCACGGCCTAGGGCCCCCAACATTTGGAGGCCCCAAAATTTAATAAACATAAAAAGTTGAAAAATAAAAATAATGTGTAGAAAAATCAAAAATGTTGTAAAATTTATTTTTCATTAAATTCTCAATATTCACACTGTTTTGTTTAAATAACAAAATTTTAAATAAAAAAATGAAAATTTTTTTTCTCCCAAAATTAAATTATTTTAGCGGCCTCAAAAATGTTTTGGCCTAGGGCCCCCAAAAGGCTAAATCCGGCCCTGATGTATGTAGTGTGTGTATGTGTGTGTACATATATACATATGTATATAAAACCCTCCGAATATATTCAAAATTACAAAAACATTTAAAATGGATTCATCTTATAGAAATGCTTTTGAAAAAGTATCAAATTTATTTAACACTAATACTTTTAATTTAGAAATTGAATCTGATCCAGATATTAATTATTTTAATGAGATTAATGGACCTGAATTTGAATGCTCTTACTTTTATCCAGATAAAATTAAAAGCATTTTAAAAAGTGATGATAATTGTGATTATTTTAATGTAATCCACATTAATATGAGAAGTTTAAAAAAAAATTTTGACAACTTTTTAAATATGATTTGCGAAACAGAAAATTTGACAACTGAAACTTGGTGTACAGAAGAAGCTTCTTCTGTACACCAGCTTGTTCATTTTATAAAAAATTACTGATCATTTAACACTTACAAATTATTTACGCTTATTTACAAATAATATATGGGAAAAGCGCCAATCTGATAATAAAATTTGTGCGCCAGTCTATTAATTTTTTTTCTTCACTCTAATTTTTATTACTTACTTAAAGAATATGCATGAAAAATATTGATTAAAAGTTTTAAGTACATTAAACAAAAATAAAAATTTTAATATTCAAAAATAATGATTTTCAAATAACTCAACTAAATTTACAATAAAACTTTATGCTCAAACAAAACACCATCCCATCCACATGACCATATAGATTTGCTACTTTCTTGATATGCTAAGCCTTTAACATAATCAGAATGCCTAACATTTTCATAAACACACTTTGAGTCATCATACATCTTCACAGAGAAATCGTCAGATGCAGAAATAATCAAATTGTCAACATAAACAAGTTTATTCACTGTTTTTTTATGTGCCGTAAAATTTTTTAATGGGGAAGAACAAGAATAACGCAAATCTAATAAGTTAATGTCTCCATTACTGAAACCAGCAATGACACAATTGCTATTTTTCCAAGTCAAACATGTTGGATGGTAAATCGGATCATAAAACCATAAGCAATCTGGCTTTCCTTCACTTCTACTATCATGTATTTGAACAGTGCCATCTTCTGATGCAGAGGCAAATACATTTACACTGTTTGTATCCCAAGCAACATCTAAAACTTTATCAGTATGATACAAAATAGTGTGGAGAGCTTGTTCATTTTCCAAGTTCCATATTTTAATGCTACCATCCCAGCTACCACTTACTAATTGTTTAGTTTGGTTTAAAACACTTACTGAAGAACATACATCATTATGCTCAGCAAAGATGATAGAAACTTCAAGGTTTGGAGTGTCATTAACTTTCCATACCTCAACAGTACCATCATCTGTACTTGTAACTATATTATTTAAGTCTATCCATTTAACAGATGTACACCCACTTTCATTTAATGAGCCATGATCAATGTGTGGAATATGTGGTGCAAATTTGACATTATTAAATACAGCAACAACACCATCCCACAATTTTCCTGTTAGGTTTGATGCAACAAGCGCAAGTTGATCATTTTTGTTTATTGAAATTCCATCTAGAAATTTGGGTATTGCAGCAACACCTGTTTTTTCATGCAGATCCATTATTTTATCTAGAAAAAAAATAACTAAATTTTAATGACATTACGAATGTTAAAACTTTAAAATAATAGTATAATATTTAATTTATTATTAAAATAATAGTATAATGTTTAATTTATTATTAATAGTGTTTCTAGAAATCTGAGGGAAAACCTTAAAAAAAAATTGAAATTTCAATGAAACTTACTTAATAAATTTAAATAAAAAAAAAATCATTTTATTTTGCTTTGTATACCAACAGTTGGCAAACAAACATTATATAATTAAAACAAGGTGAAGCTACAAGATAAAAACATATTTATAGAAGTTTTATAAGTTAATAGTCACAAAAATATTTGTCAAAATAACAATACAAAATGGTAATCCTAAAAACTAATAAAACTTTATATACTTCAAAAAATATCTTTATTTCACAGCCAAAAAAATAATGTTGCAAATACCAAAAATGTTTTCTTTAAGACCAAAATATTTAAAAGTCTTGATTATAAGGGAAAAAAATATTGAAGTTTATATTCATTTTATAATATAACATTATAAAATGAATATAAACATTTATAATGATATTATTATTATTTATTTCAGTAAATACAAATACAATAATCCATTTATAATTTGATGAAGAGGTGCTACACCAGGCCCCTCTATGTTGAAGAACATGGAGATACAGACGCTACAGACAAAGCAGCAGTTGTATCTATAAAGTTACTTTCTTATGTTGTTTTTGAAAGCGCTGATGGATTGAGCATTCATATCAGTTGAATCACTTACAAAAAAATATCCACATTTCTGGGAAATTTTTTTTTTTATGATATCAGTGATGTCATATTTGCTACAATTTAGGAAGTATAAAGTTAATATTGATTGAAAAATTAATTTACAAATGACTGCAAGTCAATAACAACCATTTATAAAAACCACAATGCATTTTATCTAATTACTAAAACAATATTCTTACTGTGGGCTTTTATAGGTTAAAGATACTTTGCAAAATATTCTTATCTTAAATTTTTAATGAAAAAATTATTATATAATAATTTAAAGTTATTTATATGATAAATATATAAAACATAACATTTTTATCTGATTCAGATAAAACTGTTGTTTAATATATATATATATATATATATATATATATATATATATATATATATATATATATATATATATATATATATATATATATATATATATATATATATACCATATAATAACTTTAAATTATTATGTAATAATTTTTCAGATTCTGAAGGATACATATGTAGTTAAAAATACAAATGTATTTGTATAATATGTACATATTATGAAATACGCTATTATCAGCAACAAAATAGGTTTTTTTTTGGGTTTTCTTAGATATTTTAATAGTATAGACTATACTACGGTTTATTCCCCCACTTTACCTATTAATAAAAACTAACCATTACAGTAACTAACAATTTACAGAAACTTCCCATGTAGACAGTTAGTTATGTTTTTGGATAACAGGTATAAAATAGCTGAGCTATGGCAAATCACTTACTGAGTAATAACTCATTATCAAAAAAACTATTACCTATTATCCAAAAACATAACTAACTGTTTACACAGCAAGTTACAGTAAATAGTTAGTTATGGTTAGCTTTTAGCTCATATACTTGAGCACAAATAATAGATTACTTAAAAACCATGCACCTCGCCATATTGCTTACGACATGTACTCGTTTGTATACATGCCTATCAATAGCGAATTAAGTTCCATAATATATATCCATAATTATATATCCAAAAAGATAGATCTTGACATATTAGATTTTCGTGCGCAACATTAGCAGCAATACTGATTTTCAAGTACTTAATAAAATAAATAAAAATTGTCGAAAAATGCGCACGTGTTTTTTAAGCAAACTCTCCATTGGAGAGATATGAATCAGAATATTACAAAATATTTAATAAAAGATTAAAAAGACTAATAATTTATTATAGCTACCTTTCAATTCAAAAATGTTATGGTATTATCAAACTTTTACATAAGTAATTTTAGTTAATATGATCATTTTTTTTTACTACTATAGATTCCGGCATTTTATAAAGTCCGGCGATTGTGTATTTACCGTTACGTTAAAACTGATGTTTGTTAAGTTACAGTTACGTTTAATAAATTCCAACATGGAAAATTACTGATAGGGAATATAAGATGGCGGCATGGGGTACGAAATTAATTTTTAATTTTTAGTATCTACACGATTAGGCACTTAGTTTGTCTTATATTCATGCACCACATTTAAAAAAACTATTTATTGTTAAATCAAATATTTTAGGATTTATAGGTTTCCTTGCTAGGGCCATGCTTTAAATACACTGTATTAATTGAGTATTATTAAACCATACCTATTAATCGTTATTGGATTGTTATAGTGATACGCGTTATAGTATTAAGTTTGAAAGAAATTTCTTTTTTTACTCCTACTAGTATCTATAAATATTAACAAAAATATTAACTTATCTTGGCATAATAAATAATTAAAAATATATCAAAAGACAGGAAAATAAATCTGGTAAAAGATAACAAAAAGTACAAGATGTACACTTAAACTGCATTAAATCTTAATTTAACAATAATAATAATATTATAAATATATTTTTATGTATATATATATATATATATATATATATATATATATATATATATATATATATATATATATATATATTTACTGTTTTTATTGTTTAGTGTTTAAATGATTTTGTTTTTATTGCTGAAAATTAACTTTTTTTTTTTAAGTACATGTATCACATTATACATACATACATGCATACATACATACATACATACATACATACATACATACATACATACATACATACATACATACATACATACATACATACATACATACATACATAAATACATACATACAAACATACATGTATACATACATACATACACACATATGCACATCAGAAAAATTCCAGAATAAAGAATAAAGAAATATCTTGTTTATATTTTGGTGTTATTGTTTTTTTTGTGTGTGTTTTTCTTTTTAAATTTTATATATATTAATTTTTTATATATTTTTTTTATTTTATTTAAATCTAAAGAAATAATTGTTTTATAATTATATATATATATATATATATATATATATATATATATATATATATATATATATATATATATATATATATATATATATATTTAGGTGAGCAGTCTGATATCATATTGAAATAGTCTGCTCCCGAACAGTCAATGTATGACTGCCCCAGTTCTTACATTGACTGACAAACAGCCTGACTCGCAGTGGTGTGCTGCTATATCGACTGAGGATTTGGCATGGAGCAGCAATCTTTTCATTATTCTTTGTTTTTTCTTCTTTTTCTAAAAAAGTCATATTGATTAAGATAAGCAAAAAAAGTGAGCAAGTGCTTATATAAATACCCCATAGTAGTTAAATATATATGTGTGTGTGTGTGTGTGTGTGTGTGTGTGTGTGTGTGTGTGTGTGTGTGTGTGTGTGTGTGTGTGTGTGATATATATATATATATATATATATTGTTTAAGTGATTTTTGTTTTTAGTTTTTATGAATTTTATATAATTTTTTTCAGTTTGATAATGGTTTATACTAAATAAGCTGAAATATCACAATTTAATAATATAAATAGAGTTCACCATTGGAGTATTAAGTTAAATAACTTAATACTACAGTCAATTTTTTTTATTATTACATCAAATTTAATTGAAAGTAGTTCATAAGCTTTCATTTTTTTCATTGTTTCATTTGTTTAATTAAAGTATAACTTCAAAATGTTTTCGCATCATTAAAACAATGAAATAACAGTTTCTTTTTGTTAAAACATATTTATTGTTTTTTCGTTGCTAACGCTAATAAAATTTTTATAACTTTTTTAGCAAACGTTTTTACAAACTTAAACTTTTCTTTTTCTCAAATAAATTTATAAATTTAATTAAGTTGTAAATAATATAAATTATAATTTTAATAACAAAAGCTTTTTAAATTTAGTTAAATTTTGGGAATTTAATATTATTAATAAACTTATATAAATAGATAAAATTTGATTTAATTTAGTTAAATGTTTACTGTTAACGTTTTATATAAAGAACTGTCAAGTTAACATGAAAAAATGAGTTTTTTAATTGAAGTATATCTTAACATTTTACCTCAGTTGAAAAAACACAATTTAAGATTGTTATTTCATTTATTTAACACCTAATATAATTTACAAGGTAAAAAGAAAATAAAAAAGTTATTTCTCGTGATTTTCACTTAAGAATTTTTTTTTCAGAGTTTGTTCAAATTTTTTTTCGTGTTCCAGCCCTCTATTACATATTTCAAAGTTTGTTCAACTTCAGATGGAATTAATCAATAGAAAGAGCTATTTTTATTTTTTTTTTTTTATTTTGAATTACATTTTGAAAATTTAGCATCCAAAAACAATTCATTTTTTTCAGCATTTATTTTAATGCAATTTAAATTACTGTAAATATTGCATGTTATTATCAGCTTTTTGAGACCAAAGAGGGTAGAGCTTTTAAATTAGCACTCTTTTTTAATTTAATTTTTTTTTTTTTTTTTGCAACCATGCTTTTTTAAAAGCATTGCAGTATATTATGCAATTAATTTTTTTCAAAATGACATTGTATTTTTTATTTTAGTTTCAACAATAATTATAGAAAAGTTACACTTTTGTGAGAGCCATAAATTGCTCCTGAAAACCATTTTAGGGGAGTGTGGGCCGAGGCTTATATATATATATATATATATATATATATATATATATATACACACACACACATAATTATCAACCCTCAGAATTAGGGTCGGTATTCATTATACAGGCTTGGATATATATATATATATATATATATATATATATATATATATATATATATATATATTATATATATATATATATATTAAGGTATGACTAAAAAACAAAATTTCAAAAATACCATGAGAGTTATTTTTCTAGCTTGATCTATCTATTTTTAGATTATGTTTTGTTTTTTGGGTAAAAATGATGGGAAGAGTTGATCTTAACCATTTGCAATCATGTGTGTTTGAGAGGTTGGGGGGACTTTTTTTATTTTTATTTTGTACATTAAATATAAACATTTTTATAGTTGTACATTTTTATTTAAAGAAAAACTATTTTATAGTTTTTATCCAAGATTTTTTATCATTTGTTTTAAATTTTAAACAATTATAAGCTACAATTAATAAATAAACGTTTCAATGGGTTGTTGAGAGTGGGAGGAGAAGGGGAGGAGTCAAAAAAGAATTTTGTGAAGTTTTTTTAATTTTTTTGTAAGGGGGCATCCATAAATTATGTACACAGTAAAACCTCTGATTTAGGACCCCTCCCCTTATTTACGAACCTGTATTCTTTTGGCGACACCCCCTTCCTCCGCATACAAACGTATTAATTTATTTTCAAAATTAACTTAATTTCTTTTTTCTCTCCTCATTAATTATAAAGAAATAAAAAAAAAATTGTGACTGAAGTCAGAAAAAAAACACATTTCTGATTTGTTAAACACTTGAAATTAAATGTTAAAAAATCAAGTTTAGGAGAGATAGTCAAACCGCGTATGTGCTCACTGTCTACAACACCTTTCCCCCTTTGTACGCGTTTGTATGATTTTTGGAATGCAAAAAATTTTTACAAAAAAAATTTAAAGGTTATAAGAGTCCATTAGGAAACAAATAAGGTTGGTTAGTAAAAAATTTGAGGAGACAATAAAATGTTTAGATACTTGCAATAATGTATCTCCATCCTTTTAGAAAATTTAAAAAGTATATTGTTCCGATTTTTATTCATTATCCGTAAAGTAATTTCATAAATTAGCTCTTGAATTAGCTAAAACAGAAAAGTCTGCAAGTTATATAATAATTAAAGATTTTTTGGACCTGAAAACTGATTTTTTTTTTTTTTTTTTTTTTTTTTTTTTTTTTTTTTTTTTTTTTTTTTTTTTTTTTTTTTGTGATTCAAAATGTTGTTTGTTAAAAATGACATTACTTTAGATAGAATGGCTGAAAAGCAGTTCATCAAACTGAAACTTATTGCGGCTATCTGCTATGTGTATATATCGCTATATATTATTATACTTATTTCCAGGTTATAAAAGATTTTAAAAAAGTTTGTCACTGGTCTTTCTGTTCTACATTGCAATGCAGAATGTGCTTCTAACTTGAGTCAAGACCTTATTGAAACTTTTAGAAACTAAAGTAGACGGAGAAGCTAACTTAATGGTTGTAGCTTATAATTGTTTAAAATTTAAAACAACTGATAAAAAATCTTGGATAAAAACTATTAAATAGTCTTTCTTTAAATAAAAAATGTACAATTACAAAAATGTTTTTTATTTAATGTACATAATAAAAAAAAAAAGGCACCTCCTTTTAAGATCTTCCCATCATTTTTACCAAAAAACAAAACATGATCTAAAAATAGATAGATCAAGCTACGAAAATAAATCTCATGGTATTTTTGAAATTTTGTTTAGTGACCCTGCCCCTACTATAAATGCAAAAACTTAAATTTTTTGTATTTTTAGACAGCTGGGACCAAATTTTTATCTGCACTGGTAGGGGAGTGTTTTTTTTGATTTGGAAAAAAGTATTATTATTTTAAGTTAATACAAGTAAAAGTTCATTTTTTGCCGCTATGCCATTTCCGAAAAAATGAAATATGTTTTTTAGTCATACCCCTAATATATATATATATATATATATATATATATATATATATATATATATATATATATATATATATATATATATATATATATATATATATATATATATGTATATATATATATATAAAACCTTTCTTTTATGAGGTTGGCAATGTATCTGTATGTATTAAAATTTAGATGATGATGATTTTGTCCCAATACCTGCAACTTCAGTGGAAAGTGTCATAACCAAAAGTATATTTGATGGAGAAGATGTAGATGATGAAGGTTTGAAAGTATGTGCCAAACTTACCATAATTTTTTTCATTGAAATTAAAAATTCATTATTAAAGTTTTTTGTTAGTGTTTTTTTAACCATTTAGGTTGTTTAAATTTTCTAGGAAATCTTTTAATTTGCTAATTTTTTTATTTAACTTTATTTTGGTATTTTTCAGGACAATTGGGATGATGAAGATGAAGTAGAAGAAAAAAAATGTTAGAATTTTAATTATTTTTTTTAATGCTGACATCTAAACTTTATTATTTTGTCAAAAAAATAAAAAATATTCATAAAAACTTTTTTCAATTTGTTTTGCTAATTTTGCTTTTTAACAAATATTTTTTTAGCTAGTCTTATTTGAGATTTGAGCCAGCATCAATTATTTGTAACAAAATTTAATAGGAAGACTTTTTATTTTAAATAGGTTTCACATAAGTTCTATTTAATAGGTTTTGCATAAATCGTATAAGATTCTATTTAGAGATGTTATAACAGATTTGTTATATCATATTTGTAAACTTCTTTTTCAGGCTCTAAAGGTATGGGTAGCGTATGGGAAGCGTTTGCAATTGTACACGCTTCCTAGGAAGTACAAGTTCCTTTGTTTGTACACGCCTAAAGTAACTCACTTAAAAACAAAATGTTTTGTGATGATTTTAATTAGGATTTTTTTCATGAAAATTATCCAAATCAAAGAAGAGTATAAGAATTTATCTTTCTTTAGCTTATCTGTACTTTGTAATATTAGTCATACAAAAATAACAGTTATCATGATGGTTTGTCAGCTCTCTCTATTCTCTGGGAACGGCAAAGGGCATTGTCTTTCTTCTACCTCATCCTGCTAGATAAATTCAGCAAGTTTCACATATATCATGAGGAGGCAAGTTCCGCATATATCATGGTTTTTGATCACCCATGAGCATTTCAAAATATGTTGCATACACTATACTCAATATAGTACTTTTCACAATGTAATACCTGATTTTTGTTAATATAATATTGACATACATAGCAAAACATATGTATCGAGAATTTCAACATCCTTTAGTAGCCATTATGAGAAGAATAAAATGTACCCAGTTGACACAAATATGCATAAGATATGTATTTAAAGCAGCTTTTAATGTTTTTAAAACAAATGACTTTGATTTTCAAATGGGTATTTAATAAAATGCATGCAGAATGTTTTTTATATGTTTTATGAAATATTTTACAATGTGGAACCAGAAAACCTTGCTTTTAAAGTACCTATTAATGGCATATTTGTCCATCTACAATACAATGTATTTTTATGTTGCAACCCACTACTTTTCTTTCCTCATCGAAGCCTAAACTGCAAGAGAAGCATACTAGCAGCATGCTATGTTTTGTGAGGCAGTGATGATGTATTTTGACTCAGTTATCCGTTGGCTCTAATTATAACTTTAAAACTGTTAATGATATAGAAAGTTTTTTTACTTTTTTGGAATTAGTAGAGGAATTTTTTTAATAAACAATAAAAAATTTACAGTGAGTAAAAATTTTGTAAGAATTCGTAATCTTGTGTTATACAAATGATTATCCTATTTTTCACTTTTATACATATCCTAGTTTGCATTTTCTAATTGCCAAAACATTTATTACTACAAATTTGTGCTCATGTGAGTTTTTATATTTAGTAAGCTGCATCTGATCCAAATGATGCACGTGAGTAGTACTTTTAACTATATGTGCTCCCTTTTCTATCTTATTAGGTTCAGGGTTAGAGATGTGTATTTAATTTCAAAAAAGTGTGATATGTACATTTTTTAACATGTGTCCAGTGACACACTTTAGTCATGAATTAAATAAAATTTTGAGAATCAAAGAATATTTTTCAAATTTTTTGTTTTGTTTTTTTAATAGATTATTTTAATGTCACATAAAATCTATTATCATTATAGCAGAAGTGCCAGCTACTGTTCCAAAGAAAAAGAAGCCATTGGCTGAAAAAATTAAAGAAAAAGAAGAAAAACGAAAACAAGAATTACTTGCTAAACAAAAAGTATTTTTAAGAATAATAATAATGATGATATTTACTAAATTACATTTATAATATAGGAATTTTTTTTTTTTTTTTTTTTTTTTTTTTTTTTTAATTAATTAAAAAATCAATAATATTGTTATTTTAACATTGATAATGGTAAAATAATGATTTAAAAGCATAAATAAACTATGGTTTGATTTATAAAATATGCTTTGATTTTTTGAATTTTTGAATATCTCCAAATTAAAGATAAGTTTTACCTATATTATATGAATAATAAAAAAAAGGTTTAGCATTGTCAAATAGACTAAAAATATATGAATATCAAGAGAGCAGAAAGTTGGCAATTTAGTGTGTGTTTTAACAATTTTGTTTGTAAGCCTTAAATGCGCATGCTGTCTACACAAAATCTTTAGTTAATGTAACAAAGTTACGTTAACTAAAGATTTTGTGTAGACAATCTTAAACTCTTAAACTTATAGTTTAAGAGTAGTAAAACTCTTGTAGTTGATAGTACTTAAACTCTTGTTTATGACTATTTTAAATAGCCATGAACATATTCTGATGTTTTCGCTGATTTTTATTTGTATCTTTTTTTATAGAATGTTTTGAAAAAAGATTTTTAAAAAAGATTATTCTCCAAAAAAATTTAATAACCCACAAGTTACAGGTTTTTTTGTTTAAAATTTTATTGTAGGCTACAGTCTAAATGTACATTGTAGTAATACATATTTTGCGCAGTATTTTAAAAATGTGTTATGGTAGTTATACAAGCGATATAAAGATTTGCTTATTTAAAAAGTTAAAGTTTTTTAATTTTATTTTGGCTGCGCAAAATATACTTTTATATTTCTATACTCAAAAACAGTTTCACAAGTATCAACTCTTTGAAACCGGAACAAATCTGTATGTTGTTTTCTAGATGTTTGGCAGCCCTTTTAGCCTAGAAAAATAACCCTTGACACTTGGTAAATTATGTGTTTCTTGCAAACAATTTTTTTTTTTAATTATTGATATTACGAAACAGTAAATTAAATTTTAAATGGTTTTAAAATCTAATTGATTAAAATGATTTAAATTTATTTGCAATCTTTGCATGCATTTTCTCCTACAACATTCTTCACTCTAATACAAAAAATGAAAATTTAAACATCAAAAAAAAGATTTTTTGATGTTTAAATTTGTGTTAAATTTTTTTGAAGAAAATAACCCTGAGTTTTAAAGGGTAATTAAATGCTACCCCTTTTAAAATCTATCATTTTAAAGCTAAGTGTTATCAGTGTTAAACCTCAAAAAAATTTTTAAGAGGTTATTTAAATTGTATTAGAGGTTATTTAAATTGTATTAGAGGTTATTTACTTTGACATTAGATATGATGATGTTATTTGTATTAGGAATTAGAAGCTATGGCTGAATCCAATAAAGAACTAAGTGCTGAAGAACAGTTATCAGAAAGAATAAAAAATCAAAGGTATGTCTGATGTAATACTTGCTTGCAGGTGATGGTAGATAGCTTATGATTTTGTTGAAGCTTAACTTATATAGTATATGTTAAGTTTTAAAGGAAGATGACACAGTTTTAATAGGAAAAATTTAATAAGAATATTATTTATATGATAAAATAAAATAATTAGTGGTCACAGGCATATAGCTATGGATTAAGTTACCCTGTAAATATGTTAAGTTTTTTTAATACTTCTACTTTTGAATTATGGCACCACCCTTTAATATGGTACCCTATAAATGTTAATTTAACCTCTTAATCCTTAATTGTTATTAAGGATTAAGAGTGGTGCCTTGATACCCTGTAAAAATGTTGTTTTTTTTTCAATACTTTTTTATTAAATTCATTATTTGCTGCTAATTTTAAATCTTCTGTTATAGATTACAAGAAGAATCTGATTTAGAGTTAGCAAAGAATGCTTTTGGTATTTTTTATAATTACTTTAGATTCTTTGTATATTTTTTTAGTCATCAACTTTGGAGTTAATTTATTCAATAGGTTTAATTTATTCAAACCTCTGAATAATTATCTCAATTACAATTTTTTTCAAGTTTTGTTAACACACTAATAAATATTTTTTAAGGTGTGTCTGACATACCTGGTGTAAAGACAATTGATAATTTTGATCCAACTACCAAAGATGAATTTAACGAGCTTTCTGCAATGATTGTTAAAAAATTTTCAAAATACGAAGTAAGCTTCTTAATTTGCTTAATTATGTAACTAAATTATGTGAATTATGTAACACTTTTCACCCTTTTTACTGGAGTACACTTCATTTGAGGTGGCTACTTTTTTACAACTAAATGATAGTGCAAAAACATAGAATAACAAGGAAATAACTTCTGAACAGTTCAGTTAAATGTGTAATGAGTTTTTTTCTCAAAATCTTTTGCATTAGCATGTTACACCTCAATGACACTAAAATTATATTGGTCATAAATATATTACAAATAAATATTTTGCACTAAAATATTTTGCTCACTTTAATTTTAAAAATGTTGACTTAAATTTTTTCGATAAAAAAAAATGTAATTGTTCAAATGAACAAAAAATCCAGGTGTTATAAATTGTATTATAAATATGTAATTAAAATAGTAGTTAATATATCCCAAAGTTTTTATTAAAGTAGAAATAAGTAAAAAAGTAATAAGAGTATGTTTTTATGGTTAGTTTATTTTGGTCAACATTTTTAAAGTGAGAAAAAACTATTGTTTAGCTCATAAAATTTGGTCTATGAGCATGTGGCACAACGATCTTTTCAGAGATGAAATAAAGGCTGAAGTTGATTTAGAAAAAACCAAGTAATGCTGAAAAGAAAGCCACATTACTAAATGGACCTAAATTGCTCTACGAATAGATCAAAACATGATAGTGGTAGTATAGACATCTGGGCCTGCATGAACTATGACGGTGTCGGTTGTTTCAAAATATTTGATGGAAGGCTTGATTCTCTGAGCTATTTAGATATATTAAATAGTTATTTGATGCCTTCTTTTGATATTTTCCAAAAAGACATGGGAATCTTACCACAAGATAATGTTACATGCTGCTAAGATTTGCAAGCAATTGTTTGAAGAAAACAACATTTAAACCATGTCTTGGCCTGCCAATAATCCAGATCTTAATTACATAGAGAATTTATGGTCTGGGTTAAACTATTATCTTGATAAAATTGAAATAAACAATCTGAGCCGGCTGAAAAAATTTGTAACAAAATTACTGAATAGTGATCTGAAAGAGAATACTCAGAATTTAACTCCATGCCGAATCATACCAGTGAATGCATAAAAGCAAAAGGATTGTCAACAAAATAATAGTTTTTTATTTTTTGTAAATATTTTTTTTATTAAGGTTTGTTAATTTTGTTTTTATGGTTAGTTTATTTTGGTCAAAACTTTTTTTTGATAAATATGAACACTTGTTTTAATTTTAATATTTTAGTTTTTAATTGTTATTACATTATTACAAATTTATATTGTGGTTTTTTGATTTATTTCAATTAAAAAAAACGTAGGAAATAATCACTTTTAATTAATAAAATATTTGATTTCAAACTTATATTCATACTAAAATAACATGATGGATTGTTATTTATGGCCAATACTGTATGTATAATATATTATTTATTTCAGGATAAATCAGAATATCCAGTATTTCTAGAAACGCTGTTTCGTGATTGCTGTGCAGGAGGTAACCTAATTTACCATTTTTAGCAATAAAAAATTTTGATATTTATTTTTCAGTTTCTATTAATTCAATACAATTTAAATTGCCAGATCTTATTTTTTTCTCAATAAACACTTTATTAAGTTTTTAATGGTTTTTACAAAACTGTTAGTAATATATTAATTCAACTTTGTTTCTCAAAATACTCAACTTGCCTCTTGGCCAGCACCCTTGTTCTCTAAGTCTTGTGTTTTAGAGTTAAAGGACTGAAAGAGATTTTTGTACTTTGACTTGATGTGAAATGAACACTGACATACAAGTTTACTTCACTGAGAAATAGTTTGAGTGTGGTACCATCAGGGACATAGTTAGGATCAAAATTGCCAATAGAGCAAGTATTCTACCGCTATTACAAATGCAGTATTTATGCTCTGTTGTTGTTTTTTTTCTCATTACCCTTGTTTGTAATTTTGTAATTTCGAACAAGGTTTGTAGTTAAAGTTTGTAATTAAACGTCTTAATTTGAATCAGTAACAAAACTATCTTTTGGTTAACTGGCATCATTAAGCTGGTTTTCATCATCAGATTTTCTTCCTCAAACTTAGTTTAAGGAAGAAAATCTGATGTCAGCGTGTGACAACAGAATCAGCTTAAATTGAACTCTATTGCTTTGTGTTTATCTGTGGTGCAGCTCACAGTTCATCGTCTTAAATGTAAAACTATTCACACAATACTGATGATGAATTTCTATTCACTGTTCTATAAACTATTCACAGAATGATGATGAAAAACTTAATTGAGATGAATTGCGTAAATGTTTATCATTTTCTTGTAATCAATAAAAGCAATGTGTATATACCATTAAAGTGAGTTATTAACTAATTGCTTTAAAACAAATTTTTAAATGTTATACATATAAAAATTGTTTTATAAACAATTCTATGCCATTTGTTTTATATTGTTTTATAAACAATTCTATAAACAATTCTAATTTTTCTGTTACATCTATTGATTTTAGAAACTAATGGAGCAGAAATACTTTTAAAATAAATTTAAGCTGTCAGGTGATAGTATCTGGTGAATTCTTTTGCACTTGTTATCATCCTTAATAACCTTAACTTTAAGTGAGTTGTGGCTTACTGGATCAGCTAAAACATTGGCTTATTTCCATCCACTTTACACAATGATTTTTAGCAGGCTGAATTTTTTAGATTTTGACAAGAGCACTGCTAAGGTTTTATGGCATAGCACATGTCTATAGTTACATTCATTTTTATATTGTTAAAATCTTTTTCAGGCCATGTAGTTTTTAAGATCCTCTTTTAATATAGCGCAGTGATTAACGCGTAGTGATAACGCGTAATAGCGTAGCGCAGTGATTAACGCGTTTGCCTCAGAAGCTAGATATTTGTGGTTCAACGCCACCTCTGGACAGGTTTTATCACGTCGGCAAGGAATTAGGCGTGAACTTTCTTTCAAGTGCTCCTTCGCGGTGCTCTGTGATAAGACCGTAAGGACTTCTTGAGGCAACTAAAATAAAAAAAGTATATATATACATACTCAGGTAAAAGAAATGAGAGTAAATATGAATATAAAATAGTTTTAAACCCCTCGGAAAAACTTTTACTATAGTAAAGCGCAGAAAATAGCAACAAAAAAATGAAGTTCTTTTGAAAAGAAGATATGATCTTTTGTATATCTTTGTACATAAGATATAAAATCATACGGTTTTTGGAGCCTGTGCACGTTACCAGAGCTAAATAATTGTAATGCTCCTAAATGGTACTATTGCTAATAGTGGAAAGGATATTATTAAGTACTAATGTTAATTTAAATTTGTTTTTGTTATTTTGAGTTAATTCTAAACAACTTTGGAACTATTAAACCAATAAAAATTATTTTGATTAGATTAGAATAGATTAAAATAATGAAAAACGAATGTAAAGAGATTGACAGTGTTTATTTCAAAATGAGATCAATTTGCTTATTTATTTTGTATGACTAAAAAAAATCTAGCAAGTATTTTTTATTTCTATAATAAAACTAGAATGCAAATAGTACATTGATTAGCAACATTTTAAGCAGACAAGAAATCGAATAAAAAAATCAAGGTTTTTTGGTAACTTCTTATTATTTTTTTACTTTTTATTTTTTTTCAAAAACGTTAAGTAGATATGAACGACTATTATAACCACCTTATGCGTGTTTAATTAACAGTATTTAATTGTACAGTAATTAATACATGCGTGTAATTAACAGTAATTAATACATGTAATGTAACAGTAATTAATACATGCGTGTTTAATTAACAGTAAAAAAAAAATGATATACTTACACTGACAATTAACTATGAGAAATTTTAAAATAATTTTAATAAATACTCACCAGTTAAACTCTAAGGGGTCGTCCATAAATTACGTAACCCTATTCAACAAAACAAAAAAGATCAAAAGTTTATCCTCGCTATCCTTAATTTAACTAATAATCAAAATAGCGCTTTAAATTTAATGTAAATTGCCGCGCTAAAGAGCTAATGATCTTCTATTTATTATTATTATTTATTTTTTTGAAAATAAGTTCGTTTTCTTTAATTTTTAGTCGACGTCGAAGACATAAAGCGTATATCAAATTCATTATCTATTGTTGCGACTGAAAAACTAAAACTTACTAAGGTATCCATTGTTCATTTAACTTGTTTTATAAACGCGAATAGAAGTAGGTATATCTGAAACTTAAAAATGTGTTTGACTCTAGGTAACAAAAAGCGGAAAAAAGAAAGGTGCTTCAAAAAAAGACACCATTAAAGTTGGAAAGGGTTTGAAAAATGATATGGATTACGGCAACGATGATTATTATGAATATGAAGATTTTATATAAACTATAAAAAATATTTAACTAATGAGTATTTTTTCAAACAGAAAAATGAATATTTTAGTATATGACTTTTAGACATTTCCACTTATATTTATATTTTATAAGTTTATTATAGTGCCAAATGATGACGCTATAAAAGGAATTTACGTGGTTGTAGCCTGGTTGCAAGTAAAACATAAAAATGTCTCGCAATGTCATGTGTGGGAGAAATCAGATTTTGAAAAGAAAAAATTTAAACAACAGGTTTTAAACTTAAAAATTTTTTTAGAGGTTACTAATTTGTTTTTCCATATTAAAAGTTACGGATTGTCAATAATTTGTCAACCGTCAGTAAATGGAACATATGGCTACCTTAGTACAAATGGCAGGATATTCAACCTAGTCACTTAAAGTTAATGACAGTTGCCTAACGAAGAATGAAGGTGGCTAGTTGACTGAAAATAAAAAATGTCGTGTTTTGTTTGGAATTATTAAATTTATAACATTATCCTTACTTTATCTCACAACAAACCAATGTTGTTGTTTATTATTACTTGATAAACCAGTAAACTTTTTCGAGAATTGACAATCGATCCATTAGTTAGAAATATTCTATTACTGATAAGCTTGATGGGATAAATATTCGCTTGTCAAACATTCCAGACGAGGAAATTTTATATGGTTATTTTTCTAAAATAACACAAAGTGTTTTTGGAAGAATAACCGTAAAAACACTTTTTTCTATTGTTGGTAGGCTATAATCACTGACTTCCTCTGCTAGACTATGACTTTTTTTCAGTAGGATGATTTTCTAATTTTTAATTTCTTTCTAATTCTAACTTCTTAATTTTCATAAATTATCCATACAAATTAATCAATACAAACTTTCCAACTTGTTCCTTTCTGTGTTGCTTCGGAACATAAGTTAGATAAAATAATTAAATCTTTATCAAGTTATAGAAGTTGTTGTGCTTCAGTATTGAACATGTTAACAACTTGTTAAATTAAATGAGTTTTTATTTATTTATTTCACGCTTTTATTTATTACCGTCCTTCAGTAGTTTATTGCCACTTTTGTTAGTTTTGTTAGCATTTGTACTTTCTGTTGAATGTAATGTACTTTCTGCTGAATGAGCATTTGTACTTTCTGTAAAACTTTGTAAAAATCTCTTGTAGTATTTAATTGCTTTATTACTTTGAAAAATAAACTTAACTACGTGATCCTAACAAACACGCTGAATTGGTTGTTTGTGACAGTTTTGAACTTTATTTAAGCTACAAGGTTGTTTTTTTTTTAATTTTTTTTAAGCTACAAGGCTTTTTTTTTAACTTTCTTTTCATTTTTTGGTATGGGGTGGCAGTCATTTCTATTTATTTAATGGAAAATCCTATTTAATTTTTACATTTTTTACGTTTTTGTTTTTTAAAAATAATATGTTAAATTTTCTTCATTTTACGGTATGACAAATATTGTTTATTTTGACGTGATATTCTCAACCAATAAAAAAAACTTTCGGTAGGAAAATTTTTATTTTTCCGCTACCGACTTTCGGTAGGCTATCCACGGCGATAATCTACTACAGGCGCCTCAAAAGACAAAAATCGTAATTGCTGGTTTAGAACTGGCAGAACTGATTCATGGTGGCATAATATAATAACTGATGGAGCTCCCAGTGATGTATGGAAAACAAATTTTAGGCTCTCACGTTTTCTTTTCATAGATTTGGTTTTAGAGTTAAGCCCTTATTTATCTCCTGATCTTTTTTCACCTAACTCTAGAGCTCTATCAGCAGATAAAAATAGTTACTTTTTTATCTGCTGATAGAGCTTTATATTACTTGAAAGATACTGGATCTTTAAGAATGACTGCAAATACTTTTGGAATTGCAGTATGCACTGCTTCTGCCGTTATAATTTTAGTTTGTAAGGCAATATCGAAGTATCTTGGGCCTAAGTATCTATTTCTTCCAAGAAATCAAACTGAAATGCGAAATAAAGTTTCAGAGTTCGAAAGTAAATTTCGAATGACACAAGCCTTTGGATGCATTGATGACACCCATATTCCTATTCGTCGTCCATTAACTCGCGAGGTTAGAATTATTTTGTTCTATCTCCACATTTTTTTGCTTCGAGATAAAACGATTTAAAAAATAAAAACTTTAAAAGACGTCATATAAAAAGATTTTTATTACTTATGTTTTCTCCGAAACTTTTTTGATTTTAACTTAGGTTTTAATATAGTAGAAGAACATTATTTTGAGGTACATTACACAATTAATAACTCATTTTTTTCAAAAAGTGGAGATAGAACAAAATAATTCTAACCTCGCGAACTAACTCACAAGACTTCTTTTGCTATAAGCAATATTTTTCTCTTAGTGTTCAAGCTGTATGCGATTACAAATGTTATTTTATGGATGTTGAGTGCATGTGGCCAGGTAGTGTACATGATGCTAAAGTGTTTGCAAATTCAACAATAAATATAAAGTTAAGAAATGCTCAAACGTAATTTTTAACAACATGCTTAGAGCAGCACGAAATCCTATTGAGTGCGCTTTTGGTCACCTTAAAGCTAGATGGAGTATTTTAACAAGAAAGGTTGACCTTAAACTAGAGGCTGTTCCTACTGTTATTTATGCTTGTTTTGTATTGCATAACATTTGTTAAAGAGCAAATTCTTATATTGACGATGAACTAGTAAAATCACAAACAGATCTCATTAAAAAAAATGAAAAAGAATACAAAAATGTACCAAACACAATATATTCTATTAATGAAGCTGAAGGATTAGTTATACGAAGAACTCTTACAGACTTGATAAATTAATATATATATATATATATATATATATATATATATATATATATATATATATATATATATATATATATATATATCATATATATATATATATATATATATATATATATATATATATATATATATATATATATATATATATATATATATATATATATATATATATATATATATATATATATATATATATATATATGTATATTAATTTATCAAGTCTGTAAGAGTTCTTCTTATAACTAGTCCTATATATATATATATAATAAACATTTTGAACAATATATTTAAAAAGACTGTTTATAAAATTGTTTGTTTTTATTTTTTGTCAATATTTTCGAAAGTGTTTTCATCTAGACAAGTATTTGTTGGTAACACTAAGGGACTAATTTTCATTTGTGAATATAAGTTAGGTGAATGTTGATAAAACTGATTTTAATTTGATGACTGTTGTTGAGTTTGTACTATCATAGCTTGTGCCAAAAGTTTAATAGAACAACTTATGCCGTTTCCCAGGTCAGTCATTGATTTACTTACAGTGTTAATACTTTCTGTAAAGCATTTTGTCGATTCTCGTATTGCCTCTGCTATTTCTTTTCTAAATTGAGTATCGTCCCTAGCTTCTTTAAGCAGTAGTTGGTCGTAACAACATAAGAATCGATGTAACAACATAAGAATCGATGGTCTGAAAGATATGCCAGGAGAAAGTTGGAGTGACTGTGAGAAATCTGTGAAAAATATTTTTACAAATAATCTTAAAATTTCAAGCGAAGTTATTGTGGAACGAGCACATCGAATTGGGTCTTATAAAGAAGACAAAACACCAAGAACTATCGTCGTGAAACTATTGAACTACCAAGATAAAAATAAAATCTTAAGTTCACTTAAAAATCTAAAAGGAAGTGGAATATATATAAATGAAGATTTTGCTAAAGAGACAATGGAAGAGCGAAAGAGACTTTGGGAAGAAGTTAAAAATCTTCGCAATCAAGGTAAATACGCAACAATTAAATTTAATAAAATTTATTGTCGCGAATTTAGAAAATAAGAAAATAAGTTTTGCGTAAGTTAAAGCGATCGAAGCAAAGTTAATTCTTTTTACTTATGGCTAAACAAACAAAAGATTTCGAAACGCAACACTTTAATGTTTTCAAATCAGCCAATAACGCTTTACTTGATAACTTTTACGACCCAGATTTGCATTTTTTTAATGAAAATAATTTTAACTCGCGGTTTTTTGATTTAAAAACTTTTAAAAATTAATTAAAATCATTAAATAATAACTTTACGGTTATACACATAAACATAAGAAGTATAATTAACAATATTGACAAGCTAAAACATTTTCTTGTAGAATGTAATTTTTTGTTCAGTATGATTTGCTTAACAGAAACCTGGTGTTCTGACGAATCATCCAGAATAAATTCAAACTTATTAATTCCGAACTACAAACTAATATCTTACGAGCGAAAAGTTCAAAAACGAGGTGGTGGAATTATGACATATATTCATAATGATCTGACAACTAAAGTTAGAGACGATCTTTCTGTTTCTGATGCCGATGGTGAGGTCTTTACAATTGAAATAATAAACCAAAAGTTAAAAAATATACTGGTGCCCACCTGTTACAGACCACCTGAAGGTGATATAAAAAAATTTTCTAATCATCTAAAACAAATATTTCAAAAAACAATAAAGAGCACAAAATATTATTCTGTATTGGAGACATTAACATAAACTGTTTACAGTACAATGAAGATGCTGTTACCAAAATTTTTTTTGATGATATGTTTCAACACTACATCTTCCCTATAATAAACAAACCCACCCGGGTAACATCAACTTCAATCACTGCAATAGATAACATATTGACTAATTCATTTTATGATTCTTCATTAAAAGCAGGTGTAATCAAAACGGATATATCCGATCACTTTCCGATATACTTTTCTTTGTTTCAAGATACAAAAATAAACAACTCAAAAACCAAAGTCTATAAACGAAAAATTAATAAATTTACTATTCAACAGTTTAAAGACTCACTATCGGCAGTGAGATGGGATAAGATTTACCAAAAATGCAACCTTGGGCACACCAACTCTGCTTATAATGAGTTTTTAGAAATATTCTTAAAGCATTATAATAATCACTTCCCAATTATAGAACAACAATTAAAAGTAAAATACTTACAATGTCCATGGATTACTAGAGGTATAAAAAAATCTTCAAAAAAAAAGAAAAAACTTTACATCAAATATTTAAAAAATAGAAATGAAAAAAACCTAAATACCTACAAGCAATACAAAAATTTATTTGAAAAAATTCAAAAAAAAACTACTACTCGAAGCAAATAAAAAATGCAACTGGTGACATTAAAAAAACATGGAACATTATAAAAGAAATAATTGGGAACAAAAAAACTAAATCAAATAATTTGCCTGCTCGAATTATCATAGACAATATAGAGTACAGTGACAAAAATAAAATTGCTGAAAAATTCAATGAATTTTTTGTTAACATTGGCCCTAATCTTGCCTCAAAAATTGAATATCCTAATAACTCGTTTGAATCATATCTAAATGATCTCCAGAGCGAACTAAAATACAAAGAACTAAGCTATCAAGAGCTTAACGTTGCACTAAACTCCTTAAAATTAAATAAAACTCCAGGAATAGACGATATCTGTAGTAGGATAGTGGCAAATGTCTTTACAGTGATAAATAAACCTATATTTGAAATCTTCAAGTCTTCGATTAAAACAGGAGTTGTACCAGACAAGTTAAAAGTAGCTAAAGTAGTACCAATATTTAAAACAGGTGAATCATACTTAATTAATAACTATAGACCTATCTCGGTACTCCCTACCTTCTCTAAGCTTCTCGAACGAGTAATCTACAACAGATTGTACGAGTATTTAATCCAAAATAAAATCCTAAATAAAAAACAATTTGGCTTCCAAAAACAATATTTGACTGAACACGCAATCCTAGATCTAATTAATAGTATAAGTGATTCTTTTGATAAAAAACAATATGTTCTGGGGATCTTTATAGACCTGTCAAAAGCCTTTGACACAGTAAATCATAATATCTTACTTAAAAAAATGGAACGCTATGGAGTAAAAAACATCACTCTTGACTGGTTCAAAAACTACCTAAGCAATAGGCAACAATGTGTTATTTCAGACAATTATAAACACTCAAAACTACTAAGAATAGAGTGCGGTGTCCCCCAAGGTTCCATTCTTGGACCCTTCTGTTTCTTCTATATATTAACGACCTTACAAAAACCTCGAAAAAAACTTGATGTTATAATGTTTGCCGACGACACAAATTTATTTTATTCCTCGAACTCAATCAAAAACCTTTATGAATGTATGAACAAAGAGCTTGAAAAATTAAACATCTGGTTGAAATTAAATAAGTTATCACTAAATACAGAAAAAACAAAATATATATTGTTTCATTCCAAAAAACAAAAAAATAATATACCAACTATACTTCCCCCACTAAAAATAGATAAGGTAAACATTAAAAGAACAGAAACAACAAAATTTCTTGGGATACTTATTGACGAAAATATAACTTGGAGAGCCCATATTAGTACAATAAACACCAAAATTTCAAAAAATATTGGGATACTTTACAAAGTTAAACCTATGTTGTCCCAAGATAATCTTAAATCTCTTTATTTTTCTACATCCAAAGTTATCTTACGTACGCTAATATTGCATGGGCAAGTACACACAAATCCAAGTTAAATACTCTTTATTTAAGTCAAAAACATGCATCAAGATTTGTTTATAATAAATATAAACTCACCCATGCTGAACCTTTACTAAAAACCCTAAATGCACTGAATGTTTACCAAATCAACATCTATCAAAATATTCTTTTCATGCTTAAATACAATCTTGGACTAGTCCCATCGCATTTTTTAGATAACTTTTTTCAAATTAACTCTAATAGATATACCACAAGAGCAACAGGGAACTTCACATTACCAAAAAAAACAACAAAGTTCTCACGATTCTCTATTTCCTACCGGGGTCCGTACCTATATAACAAAATAATATCCGAAAATATAGAACTTAAAACATTAAATAATTCTGCCACCTTGAAAAAAAAATTAAAACACCTCATACTTAATATCAAAAGTTTTATTGACATGTATTAAACTTAACAACAAGATTTATACTAAAATGTTTATGTGTATCACTGACTGTGTATTGTTTAACCACTTTTAACTATATATAAAAATTAATTAAATTTATTTAACCATTTGAAAAGGTACTTGATGATAAGACTTCATAGTCTTCTGCGAGTCTCCTTTACAACAACATGTTTATATTTGAAGAAACAATAGTTTTTATTTAAAAAAAAAAAACAGTGTTTATTAATCTAACGTTATATTTTATTATAATTGTTAAATTACGTATTCTTATGTTATGTTATATATTTTACTCTTTGCATTAAATTATATGATAGAATTGTAACGTAATGAAGTGTATATTGAAGTTGTAAAAAAAAAAAAAAAAAAAAATAGTTGGTCGCGTCGGGCGGCACTTAAATTTCGTTCCAAATGCTTTCTTTTGTTGTCAATTAGTTTTGGTATACAGCTTTTTCTTTTTTTAGGATTATCTGCCGTATGACAGCTGATGACTGACTCTAGATCTTCTGATAAATCTTGATCAACCGAAAAATTAGTTTCTTCGGTTTCAATAAAATCATCACTTTTAGCTCCAAATGTAAGTGGTTCAATATTGGCTGAACCACCCCACAAGGAGATGAGCTGGTCGTAAAACTCTAATATAATTTTACCACTTCCATTTCGACTGCCGCTCACAACTGCTTTCAAAAACTTTTGTCGGATTTCTTTCAATTTTTCTTGAACTCGTTTAGTCCCTCGTTTTATTACTTCTTTTGAGTCCTTTTCATTTAAAGTATAGATGGCAGCAGGCCCAAAATATAGCTCTTCATCTTTATTATAGAGCTCTGCCATAGATAAGCGAA